GTATTAGCGAAAAAAATTATATATTTATAAAAGTAAGTGGGCGGATCATGTACATGTATACTATCTAAGCCACGCACCGACTGCCTGTGGTTGGAAGTTGATGCTTTTTGGGGAAAAATCCATCTTTATAACAAATTAACAAGCCATGTAGCAGGGGTGTTATTGGACAGTTACCCTAGTTTATTAAATTTTAAACACCATCAAGTCCAATGTATACATGTAGCCTTCCATGTTTAACATATCTTGATTAATATAAGTTTATTTACTTTGTTTATAACTATTTACTTATTTTTATTTGCATACTTCATAAACAAAAAGTTAGATATACACACATAGTAAATAATGTTTTAACAAATACATTAATGATTTCATACAATTTGAATTAATATATAAATAAATTAAATTATGGACTTCAGTATGTTAACTTATTTTATTTAGACATTTAAGACACAAGTTACTATCATTATACGTTGCATATTCTAAATAAAAGTCATATCCGTAGGAGAAAGAAGATACCGAATATGACTTATATTTTATAAAGTTTCTGATTGTTTTTCTAGATACGATTTCATATAAAAATAATAATTTACATGCCAAAAAATGGTTTAATTTGGTCCATAAAGAAAAAAGTTGCAAGTTATATTTGTTGCATGTTCAAAATACCAGTCTAACCACGGATATGACAAGAAACTTACCACTTTTTTAATTGTGGGCCAAATTTAACGATTTGCTCCATGTAATATTAATATTATTTCAACTTTATAAATAACGCAAAAGAAGTTAAAAACATACAAAAAAGATGAATTTTAAAACAACAAGTCATATTTGGTATCTTCAATCTGCCACGGATATGACTTATACAGAGCATGCAAAATATGTAACTTAAAAAGTCATATTAGGTATCTTCTTTCTGCCAAGGAAATGACTTTTATTTAGAACATGCAACGAATATAACTTGTATTTTTTTCATTTACGGGCGTCATTTAACAATTTTATTGCATGTGTTATTATTTAAACTTTATGAATAATGGTACATAAAAAATACATTTTTTTAAAAAATAACGAGTCATATTCGGTTTTGTTTGCTTGTTTGCTTGTTTGCTTCATTTTACGCTTTTTCCCAACAGTTTCCTAACCATCGTTCCTGGAGAGTTACACCAGTACTAGACAACCTTCCTCATAGCATCTCCCGGGGATCGAACCCACGCCAGAGAGGTAACTGGATTAGAAGTCATCGACTCTAACCCTCGCCCACGGAGGCGGTTCTCCACCTAAATGACTTTTATAGAACGTAAAGCGAATATAACTGATAACATTTTTATTTATGGACCAAAATTAACGATATTTCCAGTACATGTAATTACATTTTATCATTATAAAATATCGTATCAAGAAAAAAAACAGAAACTTTCTAAAATATAAGTCATATTCGATATCTTCCGTACGTCCTTCACGGATATGACTTATATAGAAAACGCAACGAAAATAACTTATAACTTTTTTATTTATGGACCAAAATTTACTATTTGTTTATGTTATTACATGTTATTATTATGAAATATCGTATTAAGTAAAAATAAATCAGAAAATTAATAAAATTATAACTCATATTCGGTATCTTCCGTCCTTCACGGATATGACTTTTATAGAAAATGCAACGAATTTAACTTTCAACTTTTTTATTTATGGACCAAAATTTACGATTTTTTTCATGGAATTACATATCATGATTTTAATATTATAGCATGAAAAAATCAACAACAAAAATCATAAACTTTATAAAATATAATTCATATTCGGTATCTTCCGTCCTTCACGTATATGACTTTTATAGAAAACGCAACGAATATAACTTACAACTTTTTATTTATGGACCAAATTTTAATAAATTTTTTGCATGTTATTTCATTTCATTGTAATAAATATCACATCCAGACAAAAAACCTACAAAAAACACTTAGTTTATAAAATATAAGTCATATTCGGTATCTTCTGTTCTTCTCAGATATGATTTTTATATAAAAAAAACGCAACAAATATAACTTACAACTTTTTATTTTGGACCAAATTTAAAGGTTTTTTGCATGTTATTTCATTTCATTTTAATTAAATATCACATCCTGACAAAAAAACTCTTACTTTATAAAATATAAGTCATATTCGGTATCTTCTGTACGGAGGTACGGAAACGTATAACGACCACCCTTATATGATACATATCAAATGACTTTTTTTATAGTTTTATAGAATGTTTATTATATGTAAATACGCTTTGAGGAAAGAAATACATATTTAAAAAGATGTAAGTGTTTGTCAAAAAGTTAAAAGTAGTTTATCTTGCATTATAAGATGAAAAACGTACGTTAGATTACGAAAAAATACGTATTATATATGATTTACAACATAACTTGATTTTATTGCTTTCTTTATCAAATACAAATGTCTTGACTTTTCTCGTGTCACACATCATATAAGACTATCCATTTATAGAAACTTACAAGAATGCGGTCAACATCAAATGTTACGGTGATGAAGCGCACGATATTTTATATTTTTCATAAAATCTCTTTTTTGCAAAATATATATAATATGCAGTTAAAATGATAATTTCCACTAATTTAGTTACTCATTGATTTAAAATTGGCTTGTACAGAGGATGTTACATGATAAAGATTATGTAAAAAAGGCTTAATCAACCAGTTGCTAATAAAGATAATATATGCTGGTGATGGAGAGAAATCTTTCATACGACAACCGATCTGCAATATTTGCGCGCGTTATGGAGGAGTCACATTCCTTAATCTTTGAAATACAGAAAGCCTCATTCAAAGGGTTCATATATAATCTTAAAAAAAAGCTTTGTATTGTGCAGGATTTTTCTGTCCTCATTATCAAATATAACTTGTAAAATATGTTATATTATATTTCATAATGATAGAGGTATGCGAATAAAAAACCTCAAGTATATATAACTAATACATATAAATGAACTGAAAAAATTCAAAGCAATATAAACAGCAGATTGAGTAAATGATATATATTCAAGATCAAATAGCAATGTAAATATTGGTCAGATATATATCGTGTGTTCAATAAATTGTCTTAAATTCTGTTTTTACCAAAATGCAGGGGCGGTAGATATAAGTAGATAAATGTTTCAGATCAAGTAAGTTTGTAAAAATTGGTTAGGTATATAATATGTATTAAATAAATTGTCAAAAATCCTGTTTTAACTAACATGTAGGGGTGGTCGCTATACGTTTCCGTACGGAAGAGTATACTGACCCCCCCCCCCCCTTAAATATTTTATATGCCTGTTTAAAATACGACGATACATGATAACAACGTAGTTCGTAATGGTTTTTTTTAAACTTATATATATATATATCATATTGATCTTTTCTGTTTTTTGGCTACTATACTGTTTAAGATACGTAATGGGTATTATAAACTTAAGTCTTTCTTAAGACCTTACTTTTATGTATAAGAAATATATTTTTTCTTCTTTTCATTGAAATTCTACCTCAAGAAGCAGACGTTTCCTTGAAGTATACGCTTTTATTTATTTGAAAACAGTATGTTTTCGAGGCACTATTTGTTTGACAGATATAAAGATGATATAATCATATATAATATATATATTCTTTATCTGAGTTTTTAGCTTTGAGGATGTTTAATATGATCCTAAAATAAGTTGATCGTTATGATAACACGCTTGCGGTTCACGAGTACCTTGCCAGTATAATATATATAATTATAATTTAACTGTTATAATATTATTATTATATAAATGGTTTTGAAACTTTGAGTCACTTATACTATAAATATTTCTTACATCTTTTTCAATGATTATACATGTTGTTTTTTTATATCAAAACGAGAAAATGGCCGTTAAATATTTTAATAATAGATGCGACTTATTATACCAAGAGAATCTAATTTAATTTATAAATTCATACATCTTTTTTCATGAGATTCATATGATAAAGGCTAAAGTGCACAACTACTGTATGTTAAAAAGAACATTCTGTTCTCTTAAATTTCCAAATATCATCCAAGAAACAATGCATATTTGTGATTTATGGTGTATAATAACAGATAAAACTCTGTAAGATCTATTTTAAATATCATATAACTTGTCAATTTTTTGAAGATATGTATTATACAAAGGTATTTTTTTTCTTCTGTTTTTCACGGATATGATTTTTAATAAAAAAAAAAACGCAACAAATATAACTTATAACTTTTTATTAATGGACCAAATTTAACGATTTTTTGCATGTAATGTCATTTTATTATTATAAAACATCGTATCAAGAAAAGTTAATAAAAAAAATATCAATTTATAAAATATAAGTCATATTCGGTATTTCCGCTACGGATATAGAACGTAATTCGAATATCACTTATAAAAACTTTTTTATTTATGGACCAAATTTAACGATATTTTGCAGGTAAAATCATTTTATTATTATAAAACATCGTATCAAGAAAAATTAATAAAAAAATAATTACCTTGTAAAATATAATCCGGTATTTAAGTCATATCCGCGGATATGAGTCATATCCGGTATTAAGTCATACCAAGAATTGAGTTATTGAAACAAAAACAAATGTATTAGATCAAGAAATTAATTAGGAGAGAAACATTGTTCTTTTAACAAACATGCCGTTAAGTATGTTTAATCATATCGGCGTAATTTTCAGTAATTTTTTTTTTATCAGTAAAATATTGAACACTTACCTTACTTTCACTTTGTAATTTCGGAAAATTTCGAACCAGCTAGGTAAACAAGAACGGCATGAGAATGAAACTGATATTGTTTAAAAACGTCAGTCTCAAACCATGTCACTAGTGTTAAACCCACAATATATTTCCTCCGCCTGCTTCCTATGATGATTGTCCGAATAATTCAATTTAATACAAAAATTATCCATGAAAATGTTTGAAACGTTGAGCATTTCCTGTTCTAGGTCAACCATCTTGTTTTTGTTACTATTTTTATCAAGGAATAGAAAAACTGCTTTTGAACGAATTTTCGCCTTAGGTTAAGGAATTTCTTACCTAAGGAATTCACTTAAGGGTTTTTTTACTTCAAAGTTCAGGGGAAATTTTACCTTAGGGAGTTTTCTTCAAGATAAGGAAATTTTTCCCTTTTAAACTAAGGAGATTTATGAATACGGCCCAGGAAGTTAATAAAAACCTGTTACACCAAATACACGCAAAATGTAGTGATTCATTTATAAAATACCAACATCAGTCCGCCATTTTTAATTTGGATATATCGTTATGTGGTCAGGTAAATTAATAAATATTATTTTATCTGTCTTTTAAAACACAAAAGATTGATAAAAACAGTGTCTACATGTGATCATAATAGTTATATACATGGCATTGTATTTCAATTTTAGCCACTGCCGAACTGTTTATATATGTCATGGTCGGAGTATGTAAGTCGTTGAATTCTTACTACTTGCTTATTAATAATCTTCTTTTACTGTATTTTAAGCTAATGGAACTGTGATTAATTAAAAAAGTTATTGTAGAAGTTTTTGTAACTTTGTAATTGCCCCGATAAGAATCAGAAACCAAAAATAAGTTTAAAAAATCAATTGTTGCCTTACCACATAAACTAGCTTTGTGATTTTTTTTTTATCAAAAATATTTTGTATACGATCAAAAGAAGAGGTTGTGGTACATATCTGTTACATGCTCGTTACTTGCTCATCTACCAGCCATGTATTAGTTATATTGTAATTTATCAATTATGGAGATTGACTTTAATAAGCACCTATAGTGCTTCCATCAAAATCCATATTATATGCAATAAAATATGTTTAAACCAAGTATTTTATGTAACGTTACACGAGTATTCAGTTTATACATAATACTCTTATGCACATAAACAAATAGCGCTATTTTGTATTAAACAGTTGCGATCATTCTTCTGAATAGGACAGTAAGTGGCAGCTAATATCTCGGACACAGACGAATGGCGGCTCCCAATTTGGTCTGGAATAGTCTGGGATTAACGGAATTGCATGCCGATCGTAGTAAGTTCATTTGTAATGAATATCAATAGGCTGACTGAAATATTGTAAACTTTGTATTTAATTGAGATTATGAAATACCATATAATAAATGGTATATGAACCTTACTGAAGTGTAGACAAACACGTGCCCGATACTAAACAATGGCAATACAATCTAATCGATAAAACTTGAACTTCAAACATTTGCTTATTCGATAAAATTGTAAAAACTCTTTTTGCTATGCTTTATAAATGATTTAAACATGGGAGTTGACAATGGTAAATTAAACTCGATGGTTTTTAACGTTTTTCAGAAGTTTATTATGTCTTATTTATTTGTGTCATACCACATGTTCTCAACAATATTTAATGATATTGTCAATCAAAAACCGGCAGCGTTTCAAACGATTTTAGTTTAACATGTACTATGTTGTAACCGTATAGAACTTACGCCTAAACGTATATTGTAACACCGTATAAACTTAAACCGAATACAGCTTACCATTAGCTGTATCCATCAATATTCTGCATTTAACCGCGCGTGTATAGCTCATTTTTCGTCCAGACTACGACCACGACAACGTTTACACCGACAATTATGACCACATCTATGAACACGGCTATCACTACAACTACGACTCAAACTGCGACCTAATCCGCGTTTACGACTACTACCTAAACCGCGACTACGACTTTAACGGCTAAATGTGCAGATACGACTACAACAACGACTACTACAGCGTCTACGACTAGAATTACATCTGGTTATACAGAATTAACAACGTCTACGACAACAATTACTACGCCGACGCCTACGACGACGTCGGCTACGAATACGGAAACAACGACCTTGACGACTACGGTGACATCTAAAACGATTAAAGCCCCAGTCACACTAGAGCTTACGACCAGTGAAGACCAGTTCACGATCACCAGTGACCTCTGGTCGCGGACAATCTTTAAAACGTCTTACGACGGTCATCGGTGATCTTTGGCAGTCGCAGGTTATCTTATTTAGGTCCCACGACCAATTTCAGTCGTAGAGAGGTTTTTGAGCTTGCACAAAAACCTCCTTGCGATCAAACAGGTCGCTAGTAATCTTATAAGGTCTTAAGGCTGTCGCACGATGGTCGTTCGGAAGTGCGATAATCTTACGACAGTCTTTACAAATTGCCACTAGTCACTGATAATCCTAAGTAGTCTTTAGTAATCGTGTGATGGTCGTACGACAAGTTGTAGGTGATCGCATGTTATGACACGGGTAGTCGTAAGTAATCCCAGGCAATCTTGAGACCATCGTACGTTTACTTATGACCTGTCGTACGATTGTCAATGATGACTTGTCTTACGATACTCGCAAACGTAAATTTATCTGTGCAAAAATGGTTTTGGTCGCAGACAATCGCTGATGATCGTCAGTTTTACAAGTCGCCTGTGGTCGCAAGTAATCGTAAGCTCTAGTGTGACTGGGGTTTAAGACGACTTCGACTGACAATGAAGATGACTTCGAAAACTACGACTACAAAGATTTTCAGACGATGGCAAGGACGAAAAAAACAATAGGATCAATAACCTCTGCATGTAAAAAGAGCTTTTACGTTTTTGATCGAAAAAATGTTTTTGCTATTGTCAAAGTGAACCAAACTTTTGATATATAGATAAAAAATCATAAGGTGCCATTTTCTGGTTATGATCAATAATACGGAAGCGTCCTGGTGCCAATTTAACATGCTCTATAACAATGATAACTCCTACGTAGGAGATAAAAAAAAGCCTAATAAGGAGTTTATAACTCCTACGTAGGACTTTATAGGTCCTACGTAGGACTTTTAAACCTATGTAGCACTTTATTACTCCTACGTAGGAGGTAAAAAAGCCTAATTAGCAATTTATAACTCCAATGTAGGAGGTAAAAAAGCCTAATTAGCAATTTATAACTCCAATGTAGGACTTTATTAGTCCTACATACCTTTATAACTCCTAAGTAGGATATAAAAAAGCCTAATTAGGAGTTTGTATCTCCTACGCAGGACTTTATAAGAAATGCATACAGAATGCTTTGCAAATCTCAACATTCCGGATCGGCGATGGAGCAGGACACTTATCCCCCCACCCAAAATCAAATCAAATCTTAAATATTGTCGACACTTCACATTTCAATTAAGTGTCTCAGGTTTCTGAAGTTGGTGAGGTGTCTGTAAGCACTGGCGTTGCATCCCGAAAAATTGCTTCACAGCTCTTCGAAAAGCTTACTCGACAACAAGCATTTCAGGGTCTACAATATGAATATATCAAAATTTTAAAGGTCTTTAAAGATTACATTTTCCATACGAACTAGCTGAACAAAACGAGCAATTTATCCATTTTCCGCCGTTTCAGATGATTAAATCCTTATGGAGGGCAGGGGGGGGGGGGGGGGGGTGAAGTGTCTTGTTCAAGTTGCGATTTCCGATGCATTATGCATAAGTTTAAAAATGAATTATATCCTACTTTGAACAAAGTTTAACCCATACAATTTTTGTATAATCAATATAACTAAATGCACATAATACAGAATTATCGTTTAATATAGAATGACATCTTTAGTAGTTCAAATTTCGGTACTAGTTGTATTGCTCAAATAATTCAGATTATTGAGTTCTTGTTATTTGGCTCAAAATCATCTCTGGCTACAGAACGATTGTATTTACTTAAGTGGCTTACCACAATTACAATATGACACATATAATTTATTTTCCTACATAATATGCTATCCTGAGTTATACTCTAGCATACATGTCCGTCGCACTCTGTGCTTTCAGCACTTTGATATTGAAACAAATTATCTTTATGTCATAAAAAATCATTCTGTTTTATGCTTTGTCATTGTTTTCGCAATTTAATTTTTCCTGTTAAAAGAATAATTGTGTTCATACATAATGATTTGTATGTCAATGTATCAAAATGTTTTATACTGAATTTGCCTCTTTGTAATTTACTTTTAATGATTTACTTTCACATGTACTCTTTTCAAACAAGTACGCGAAGTTTTTTTGATATATTTATTTATCATGTAGTATAACCAACCAGTCTTAATAACTTCTTCTTCTTATTGTTATTTTTATTTATATTGATGATACCTCGAAAAGTCAATTGAAAATATATTAATAAAATATCATCAGTTGTAAATCATGCGTTCGCCTTTTTCCTTCAGATGTTTTTGAAAATTTGGAAATAGACGAACTTATAAAAAGGGGTCTTTCAAAGCATAAAGACGGCGAATACAGAGAAGCAATTTCTATATTTAGCAAGGCGCTTGCTCTTTGTCAGTCACAAGTAACTATATCATAAGTAACAATAGATTCATTATCTTTTATTATTTTATCTCGGCTTATTAAAATTGTATTTTAACAACCTCTAGTCGTAAGATATGTTGTTTTTTCCCTCATCTTTTTGGTGTTAAAATCTTTCTCCATTAATAATATGAATAAAATATTTGCTCTGGCATATGACTGATCATTTTTATTTGACGTTTTCCGTATAAAGTTTAATTTCAGGAAACATGTTTGTGCAACAATTCACCAATACAGAGCCGACAGCCATCTGCAGCAGAATGAGTATAGGAAAGCTTTAAATGACGTCAGTGAAAGCTTCAGATTCTCTAACAATAGTCTGGAAGTTTGTATAATTTTACTAAATTTACCATAATTATTCCATTATTTACCATAATTTTTCATTAAAATTCAGGAAAAGTCAGAATCTTTTTTAATTCAATATCTTATTTGGCGTTAATATGTACAATGAATGTTCATCGCCAATACACAACTGTATGGCGGATATAATATACAATTGAGAAAAGTATGTTATTACAAAGTTACAAATATAGATAATACGTGCATAACCTAGCCCAACCCCTTGTGAACACAAGGCAAAAGTGTCTTATTTTCTAACATGCGGAAATGATTTTCTGACAATTCGTCTTTTGTGTTGCTTGATATTCTAACATGCTAATTCTATTATGATAGTTTGTACACAAACATGCTTTTAAGTATGACACTTTTCTTAAATGAATTAAAGAATAACATGACAACAATATCAGTTTTTATTTGAATATGATAATTATAATTTTCGTTTCACTTATTGTTTTACGACTTAAAATATGCAATTTATTTCTCATAATGAAATTAATAACACAGCGTTCCTTTAAACTTCTATTATTACTGTTATCGAATTGTTGTTATACATATTTTATTGAAACTGATTATATGCATTTTATTTTGTAAATATTCTATGCGTTATCGCATGTTTATCATTTTCAAACATTTTATTAACACATCATTTATATTAGTATTTTATCAAATATCAAAATAAGCTCTTTAGAATCAATGTGATACACCTTTGATTAATTTTACATCATATCGACACCAGTTATTGTAATTTAGTTGCAAGGGGAAACAGCTATAGTAAATTAATCATTATTTGTTTTCACTAGAAAAAGCCCTTCCAAGTAAAACAAAGAGCATCGAAACAATAGGCTATCTGATTTGTGCGAGGTGGCTAAGTCCCCGAGTATAAATCAGATTGCCGAGTGTTTTGCTGTTGTTTTTTTTTACCTTTTGTATCTTAGGCAAAGATTAAAACACGTTCCCTGTTGTCACAATTTGAAATCCCAGAAAAACTAATGTACGAGCGTCTGGATAAGACTTTTCTATCGTTATCACTTTTTTGTCGACACTATACGTAAACCCCAGAAAAAAATGAGTCAATCGACGAGCACATTCTTTTAATATCTCCGACAGACAGTGCGGTAACTGGAGTGCGGGTAACCAGTTAACGCACTGTGCATGTATTGGTTTACCATTTAACTCTGGCACATAGCAATAGAAAGGTCTCCAAACTTTGATACATTAACCAATTCATGACTTGTACAACCTACTAAATAACAACCACTCCCTGTACATGTAATAGCAAGAGCATCGAAACACGAGGCTATCTGTTTTGTACGAGGGGGCGAAGCCCCTGACTCCCCCGAGTATCAATCAGATTGCTTAGTGTTTTGATTGTCTTTCTCTTTTGTATCATAGTCAAATAAAAAAAATATGTTCCCTGTTGTCAAAAAATGAAACCCCAGGAAAAAGTAACCAATGAACGAGCATCTGAATATGACATTTCTATTGCATTCCATTTCTCTGCCGTCACAATGAGTAAACCCCAGCAAAAATGAGTCAATCGATGAGAATGCTCTGGAGTGCGGGTAACTTATACCTGCAACTCCAGTCAAAGCACTGTGCATGTATATGTATACGATTTAACTCTGACACATTTTCAACAGAAATGTCCCAAAAAAAACTGTTGTGCATGTCGTTTTTGTACAACAGATACCAGTGATGATAGGACATATTGCGACTAAAAAATAAAGCATTTTAAATTACTTTATAGTTATTAAATACAAATTACAATATAAGGTAACAACAATTATATTTAAATAGTAATTTAAGTCAGTAGTTGTAATCTTAGCAGGAATATTAGATACACTGGCAGATATTCTTTCCATGCGAACAAGACCCATAATATAAATTGATACATTTCTTGTTGTTAGTCTTTTTGTCCGATTGATACCTATTTATATATTGTGTTAATTTTAGATTAATGTCATTGCTGGGAAAGCGTTGACAGCTTATGGTAATTACGATGGGGCGTACAGAGAATATATACGTGCTTACAGTCGTGCTGTGTTATTCGAAAGATGGAGAATTGTTGAAGTGTTTCATGAATTCACAACATTTTTTGGTCACCTTCCTGAAAACCTTCGTAAGTGATTGCAGTTTTGCTTTCATAATTTATCACAATTCTTCGTTCAGCACGACATTATTGTTGTGTGGTATTTTAGTTTCTTGTATTTGGCCTTTTTCAATTTGGGTGGTTCCAGTATTCCTATTTGAATACTGTATAATCACCCTTAGGATATGTTGCCTGCTTTTTAAATTTGTCTTTTGACGTCTTGTCTGTGATATGCAGGCTTCATAACCTCAGATCCACTTTCAAATTTCCATTTTATTAAGTTCCGACCATAGTTTTCTCGTTTAGGGCACACGCATTCTTTTACTTGGGGACCATACGCCGCTTTCATGGAATGACACTTATGTGTCACATTGAAGGTTCCATGATAACCGCCGTATGAACACATCTGCGGATGTTTCTATATTCAAAATTTCACCATTTTCGTGTTTAAATGTTGAATTCTGCTTAAGCCGGTGCTAGGGGGCGTGGACGGTAACTTGCACTTTCCATTACTGTCCATGAACAGGCTCAATCAAACCGAGCCTGCAACATTTTACAATTTTGCCGTGTTGGGCTTTCTTTCGGGATTCTGTTTTTCACTATAATTATAAGATTCTAAAGATTCAGTTAAAATTATACCGACAGTTATTTCGTTGATAAATTTTTTTCTTTAAGATTTTTCTATTTTTTAGCTAATGATCCTTAGATCGCCAGCATATTGTTTATAAAAAACATCGTCTATCCTGTCATTGTCAAAGTAATCTGCCTGAAAGATCATTTGATTTTTATCAAATAAGCCTTCTTTTGCAGAACCACCGAGTATGTCAAATGAAGTTAACACCAACTTCCAATAGATTTATATGCAATGTAAATTATATCCATGTTATATTTTGATAAAAATGAGTAACAAAAAATAAAGAATTAAACGTCATGTTTCAAAATGTCAGTATGTTTACATTGTATCGCATGTTCAATGACTAGAACTGTACCAGCTGAATAAATCTTATTTTCATCAGGTAAACCGTTTATGACTAGAACAAGACTCTATATGGGCGAACATGCGAATAATTGGTTAAGTGTTTGTTATCATAATGTTACGAGGAAAGACTGGAAGAAGGCCAAAATGGCATATTTACAATTTAAAGAGTATCAACTAAGACTGTTAGAGTCCATGAAGTTTGATTTGAAACCATTCTGTAATATTAGGGAGATCAAGGTAAGAAGTTTGTTCCTATTACATGTATTATACACATTTTATATCGATGTAGAATGTATCAGTTTTATATCAAAATTGCATACAACTCGGTTGATATTTCTTAACTACGACCTATTTACTTTGAAGACATTTTTATGTTTGCGAAAGTCCTCCACAGTTTCATTTGTAGGAAAACACTTTTTTGACTTGATAACACATACTTGAAATATCTTATTTTTGTTTTAAAACTAAATTTTACCAGCCATGCTTTTTCTGCAAAATAATCGATCTATACTGCTAAATGTATCTATAATGTCTTTTTGTATTACTTTTCCTGCGTTAACTTTATTTCCATTTTCAAGTAAAAATATCATTTAGTTTGTTTTTTTCAAAACTTACCACGGAATTTAAAAGTGTATGTAATTTATAGCATGTAATTTCTAGTTATATGTACTATAAATGTTTTACATGCATGTGAAATAGAATGGGACTAAAACTTTATACTGTATGTATAGAAGCAATCTTTTTTTGCAAACAACACTTGAGTCAAAATGTTGCTTGTTGTTGGTTTCCAACAACTGCTATAACATATCGAGATTTATACGTTCCCCGCGACATTTTGTACGAATTCGGAATTATCGCTTATAAGGAACTCATTTCTTAGTCCCAATCTAGTTAAAAGTACAGAAAATGACACTTTTATAACGAACTCAAAAATATTGGCTATCCGTAAATAGACTTTCGTTTTCATTGGCAGGGATTAAAACTCGACCGAATGTACCGTTTATCGTTGTATGTACTTAAATACATCTATTAATATGAATTTGTATAGTTTTCTTTTTAGGATATTTTTAGCATGAGCTCTTTTCACCAAGATAAAACGGTTATTTATTTCTTTTCGTCAATAGTTGTGCTCGAGTAAAATAATTATAATAATTTATAATCGGTTTTCAACATAATCACGCATGCTTGCAATCTGCAATGTACGCTTGATTTAAATGAAAAGAAATCTTTATCTTCCATAAGTAAAAGTCCCCCTTAAATTATAAAAGAAGATATTCAAAATCTTGTTTATTCTCAACCATGGAAAGAAAACGAAAAGAGTTCAGAAACAAAATATTATATTTTATGAGAAATTGACATAGGGAGTAAATCTAAAACTGGAATAGCAATTATTTAAATTCCAAAAATGGAGGACGATGGTAAACAATCAGTTCGTTATATGTAAATCTGTTCGCTATAAAAACTCCTGATACAGGGAACTAATTCGCTATATGCTTACAAGGAACTTCGGATATAAGGAACATATTTTGAATGTCCCAGTGCGTTCGTTATAAGCGGAGTTTACTGTATTCCTTTCCAGGGAAATTGTTGGATCGCTGACATAATTTTTCATTTGATAAAATGCGGATCTGACAAAACAGAACTGTCTTTAGAAGATGGTGATACATACCTTCATGCAGCTGTTCGAATATCCGTTGTTTGTAAGTCAATTAGAACATCGTAATGAAATTGTTGGCATTATGACTACCTGCTAGATAATGTTTGGCTGAGCTAATAATTCCAATAAGTTGCACTTAAAGTATTTTTAGTAGCACTCAATAAAAATATTGAAATAATGATCTTTATGGAGCAGACATATGTATATAATCATATACCAATGCCGCTGTGTCGACTCCGTAAAAAAGAAACTACTATTGTCCGGCAGTGTAAATATCTTTACGTGACGTCATGTGCGTTATACTTTGTTTGATTGATGGATTCGAACCGATACGTTATACGTCATATGATGACTTTCTAGACTTTCTAGCTTTACTATTGCGGAAGACTTCAGGTCCCCTCCCATGCATTATTTTATGCACAAACAGGCACCTGCGTAGAACCACCAACGTTCCGTAAGCTAACTAGATTCATTACTAAACAAGCTTTAGCACATTAATGCGGTAGGGTAAAATAAAAATAAAAATGACAGAAAAAGGGAATAAATGTAAAATAATTTGATTTTGAGTCATTGCAACAGAAATCATTTATACCTTTTATAAAAATTTGAAAATGAAATTATTTCAGCTGGTCACCCTCAATTAATAAAATACCTTGTTGAAAATGAGAGTGAGGCGGAAGTCGCTAGTAAACCAATGGTAGATAGTCATGGAAACACATTGCTACATGTAGCAACAAAAGAACGGAATGTTAACAAGAAGGACAGGTAAATTTGAATTATAATTTTAATTTTATATATTTTTACAGCATACTTATTAATAAGTTTTATCAGTTATTCATAATTATTGCTAAGTTTAACATTATTGTGTAATTGATCAGCGTTCAAATGACATTTTGCAATTCTGTAGATTTGCTTCGAATTGATTTTTGCAGTGGTATGATATTATTAAAATGACTAGCTTCGTATTCTGATTAATGAAAATGAATAGAGAAGTGTAGGGTATTTGCTGATTGTCGTCAAATAAGACTGTGTTTTGTTTCACAATTGAAACATTCAACATTCAAATTGATTTTAATTTAATACTATATTTTCTTTTAAAGCATTCAGTGGATATCAGTCGTTAGATTTTTTATGTAAAGATGCGTAGATTGGGTCATTAGAACCTGTACAAATATATTTCTGAAAGTAATATCAAAACGATAAGTGTAAAATATTTTTTAGAAATAATAGATATGTAAAACTATTCTTTTCTCCCTATGATTATAATACACAGTGCTGTAGTTGCATTCTTTATAATGTTTTAAGGGAACAAACCATAAAATAGTTTTAATAAGTGAAAAATAACCACGCTTACATCAATTCTAGTGATCTATTGCCACTTTATAGGTACGAGGTGATGACTATACTTTTGGAATATGGCGTTGATCCAGATATCCGAAATGCTAATGGCAGGCTTGCCGCTTCGTACCTGTCAGATGATAAAAGTAAAAATCTCATAAGGACATTTCGTAAAGCAAAGGAAACAAATGGTGAGATGGTATTGATACTTAGAGCTTGTTTATATTTTCGACTTGTTCATTCTTTATTTCCTTTTCACATGAAGTAATGCTGTACTTTATTTGTGTAAAAGTATGTTTTTGAAGATTTGAAAGGTTGTTTAAAGTAGCAACAAAATTTCAAGTTTGTGCTTTTTATTTCCTTTCGCAAATTTACATGTTGGTGTAAGCCAATTAACTGTATTACATTTGCTGATCATGTTTACAAATAAGTCTTCAGTTTGCTTATGGTATCGGATTGTATGTCAATGGAACAAAGAATGATTTATTTTACTGAACATTTGAACAGCTTTTCATTACCTCTTTAATACGAAGGCAAACTGCAATTCGTATTGTTTCAAATATGTTTAAGGAGTTTGCTCAACTAAATTTTGAACACTTTAAAGAATATTTTAACTAATTTTTATTGGAACCTCTCATAGCATGTGATTAAATGTAATAAAACCTAAAATGTCTGATTTATTACCACACAATATACAACAGTTTTGATATTTAATGGTTATTTTGGGAGATTACCGTGTGCACTTTGACAAGTATTTTATTTTTCGTTTTTGTTTACTATCTGAATTGTGCTTATAATATATCAAAAACAAACAATAAATCATTAAAAGCATTTAAAGGTAGTTTTTTTTATACTTTTAGAAAAGTCAAATACTCAAGATGTCCAAGTAATGTCAGGGAATAAAACATCCACTGGCAAGACAAGGCAAAAGAAGAAGAAAGTAAAGAAAAGAAAGATACACAGCACATGTGAAGAATGTCAACAAATTTATAATGAAGCTGTCAGTTTACTACAGAAAAATAAACTTGATGGATTACAATTATATATAAAGTTGTTTAATATAGACCATAGCAATGAGCAGCACTCACGATTAGTTCAGGGCGCATTGAAGGATTTTGTTGAATGCATTGATGAGCTCAATGAAACTGGTACATTTATCACATTTAGTATGAAATTTAACAATATATGTAGGTTTTTTCTGGCATATAAACATATATACTGTTTACACCGGTGCTTGAAAAACCAGTCTTGCACCCCGTGTGTAACACAAGTCTGGTGTTTTAAATGGCGTCATTCCCATGCGCCTTTTATTAATTAATTGTGTTCTTAGGAAGACGTCATTGTGCCGTTACGAATGAATTTCTAAATTCATACGCTACTATAAGAAAAAGTACTAAATGAAAAGATTAATTTTTGTAATTTATTTTCGTAATATCATTAATTTGTAGAATTTAAGACCGGCTGTTGTCACGTACAGAATTATCTAGCTCTCGGGTAGCTGTTAAGCGGAAACTCGGCAGAGCCTCTTTTTCGCCGTAAACAGTTACCCTCGAGCTAGTTATTCCGATCTGTATCGGCAGCTGGTGTAAGATCCTAATAGTATAACTCATATCAGTTTAGTTAAGATAAATTAATATTCAGATGATCTACAAACTCAAAACCAGTCATTTGAATATTTGTCAGCTGTATTGTATAATGTTACCTTTTTGATGTGGAAATATTTTGTTGTTCTTTATTGTCAAAAAGTACACGTAACAAGAGATAACATTTGGCAAATCACACAAATTTATTACTTTACTAATTATTGAATATATTAAGCGTCTTTGCTTTTCAGAAATTCACGCTTGTATGGAAGGTTTATATGAAGGAAAAGTTTTCCTGGTCATAGAAACTATTGCAACATTTCAAAAATGGACACTTTTGGATGTGATTCACAGACATTTGAAACACAGCCTAGATGATAAGGCACTTAAAGGTGATTATTTGCAATACTAAAAAAACAACATTTTTTAAATTATTTTTTATATTATTGATGATTGCTTTGTATTATAATACGTTGCATTTCCATTGCAAAGTGTCTGAGGTAAGTGCATAGCAATTCTAATATATTAGGAGCCAGTTGATCAAAATATTTTTATTATTATAACTTTTCAAGTTGCCAATCTGTTATTCACTTTAATCTTTCAGCAAGAAATTTCGAAACAATTATAGCAAAGTGAACGTTAGTTGAGATTATAGCTGTGATGTTTCAATACAATTCTTCACCTTTTTCATCAATGTCTTATGCATATTATTTGATCTAATGGGTTGTATTTATGCGTGATTGTAGATCTATTATCAATATTTAACGCAATAAGGACAGTAATACCTTCTTTTACAGAGACATTTTGTAGACAAATACTATCAAACACTATCAAAGTTCTGACTTAAGCCATGTATATGAGTTAATTCAAAAAATATACAACCCTCAGGGAAGGTGATCACGTGATATTTGTTTACGGTATCATGGTGACACCGTTAACGACCGGACTTGTGACTTAAAATGTATTTGTTAATTTTTCGTATATCTTTGAACATTCTAATAATAAATATAAACAATGTTTCTGGCTATCATTTGCCGATTCCGATGGTATAAATTATAAAACTTACGATTGAAGGTGTTCTATTTTTCAAGTCATGCTTGCAATAAAATCATATGCATCAATATTTTGATGAAAAAAATTATGCGGTAACACTTTGGAACAAATTCTGCAAGCATATCGCGAAAATACAAGTGTTATATTGGAAAAACATGTATCACTCGAATATGAACATATTTGCCTTTTGTATATACATGCTTACTATTTTGATATTGAAAGATATAACAGATAAACTGCCTTAAAATAAAGATCACTCTCCTTAATCTTTATGTCTTGAATTGTTAATGGATATCATTACCTAAACTTGTAATATTTTAACTTCAGAATTATGTTCAAAATTTTCATTGGATTCATACTCGAAAAATATCCCGCAAACCGAAGAAGAAGTCAATATACGCATTGTCAACAACTTGCTAGACTGTGGATGGTGCCTAGGAAAAGACAGTAAACAATTTCTTTTATACTTGGGATTTAAAAAAGAATATTTTCTTTAAAGGACCATTATACCATGATTAGTACACAGGACAACTTTTAATGCCGTTACTAATTTCAATTTAAATGTGGAGATTTCTTTTAGAACCATGTAAATGTTTTGTATACAGTAAATTCCGCTTATAACGAACTCACTGGGATATTCAAAACCTGTTCCTTATATACGGAGTTCCTTGTAAGCATATAGCGAATTAGTTCCTTGTATCAGGAGTTTTTATAGCGAACAGATTTACATATAACGAACTGATTGTTTACCATTGTCCGCCATTTTTGAAGAGCATTTGATTAAGAAATAGAAATATTCGTCATTTATTTATATTTTAGACACAATACCCGAGAGCGTACTTTTTGGAATTTGAAAATCATTGCTATTTCAGTTTTAGTTTTACTCCTTATCTTTATTTCACATAAAATATAATATTTTGTTTCTAAACTCTTTTCGTTTTCTTTCCATGATTAAGAATAAACAAGATTTTCGATTTTTCCTTCCTTTTATATTGAATATCTTCTATATTAATTTAAGGGTGACTTTTTCTAATGTAAGATATATATTTCTTTTCATTTAAATAAAGCGTTCTTTGCAGTTTGCAATGGATCATGCTTGCAAGCATGCATGCTTATGTTGAAAACCGATTATAAATTATTATAATTATTTTACTCGAGCAAAACTATTGAAGAAAATAAATAAATAACTATTTTATCTAGGTGAAAAGAGCCCATGCTAAAAATATCCTAAATAGAAAACTATACAAATTCATTTGAATAGATGTATTGAAGTACATACAACGATAAACGGTTCATTCGCCCGAGTTTTAATCCGTGCGAATGAAAACGAGGGATCTATTTACGGAAAGCCAATATTTTGGAGTTCGTTATAAAAGTGTAATTTTCTGTAATATTAGCTAAATTGGGACTAAGAAATGAGTTTCTTATTAGCGATAATTCCTTATAACCGTGTTCGCTATAACCATATATTTTTTATATCAAATAAAGAAGGGCAAAATTCGGGCCAAAATAAATTGTTCCCTATAACCGGAAGTTCGCTATAACCGTGTTTGCTATAAGTGAAGTTTACTGTAGTTGTATCACACATCAGTATCTTATACAATGTAACAAATGAACGTTTATAGTAAATTACCAATTTGACTATAATTAGAGTTCAAATAAAATGATCAACATACTGCTATCGTTAAATGTGGTCATTGCATTCTGAAGACAGACTATATATTACGACATCACACAATTTCAGATGCCCGGATATTCATGCAGACCGCCATTGACTTTAAACAGTTAAAATTTGCTGTTGAGCTTTTCAATCATGGGATGGATCTTTCATTCTTGACTATTTACAAAGGCGATACACCGATTCATGCAGCTATTGAAATTGCCATGCAAGAGAAACGTACGTTATTCCTATCTTATATACTTATAATCTTCTTTTGTTAAATAACGTTATTCTGTAAAATTAATGTATGTATTGAATTATAAAATAAATGCCATTGCTTTTCATTTTGCGTTTCTTTCATAAACTTTGCTATCATGACAAGGTCTTTTGGTAGTCTGTTATTGATTAAAAATGGATCTGAGATTTACTTAACATCTATATGAACGTTAAGAACATTCCACCAACGCTCTGTTCAAAGAGTAGCAGACATTTAATTTACGTTTAAAAGTATATCATCCGTTAATTACATTGTATTCTGTCTTTCTAGAGCCGTCATTTTTAAAAGGACTGCTGGGAAAATTTAAATCAGACGAAAAATCGTATCCGTACCTTAACCCAGAACAGTTAGATATGGACGGTAACAGTGTTTTACATCTCGTTACAAAGTCAAACGACAGTGATTTGGTCTTGCAACTTACACAGATACTCAACGAAATGGGTATTCCTGCAAATAATCACAATGTCGATATTATCGCGTCAAAAATAGAGAATTTAAACGACCAAAGTAAATCCACGGAGTCAAAAAGTCGTAGTGAAATTGCTCAATCAAGTCCAACTGTAGATTGTCGGAATAAATCTTCATCATTTCTGAGTGAAAACCCAGAACAAACAAAGAGACGAATAAATGATTTGATTTCATCATTGCCATGCAATATACAAGACACACCTATTCAAAAGCAAGCAAATGACAAAAACATCGAAGTAAAGATGATTGACAAACAGGAACATAACGTTAATACATTCAAACATGAAATACCTTTAAAAACAGTCTCTAAATGTGTTTGTACTGAAGTTGATGATCCTCCAAATAAACACAATAAAGCACGAAATAAAACGTTAGAGGATATTGCAACATCTGTATGTTTTGCTTCAAAGAAAGATGATTCAACTGACAACAATAAGAAATTAGAAGCAATGGATAAAAAAGATGTAGATTTTTCCGATCTTCCACCCCTGGAGTCAAATGAAGATATTATAGAAAAGACAGAACATAATACTGACGTCGATGTAGATATGACGACATGCAAAGAAGATGAAAATATTTCGGACAAAGCAGATGATGAATATGATAGTCTCGATCAAGAAAGTTCCGTATGTAGAAATTTTAATGTTTTTTCCGAGAGAGGATTTACTTTACTTATTTTATTATATCTAAAAACATTTACCACACATTTTACCTCGACATTCTTTTTTATTTTCAATACTTTTATTACAAATATAATCATAATGATTGATAAGCAACGTTGAAGATTATTCTTTGCAAACATTTTCTGACATTAAATTAAAAAAAATCATATCGCTATGGAAATTAAGCTATATAGCTAGTTTTACAACATGTTTTATGATAGATTGATGGAAGCTTTATAATGTCCTCCATGAGAAAATGAGAGATATTAAAGCAAATGAAACTAGTATGCAATTCTTGTCTACTGCATGGAAAAACAAAATACACCTCTTTAAAGTGATAAAACAAACTATATGAAAAAGTATAAAAATCCAGAAACAAAGCGGTCTAACAAAACTTCATAATGTAACAACAAACCTTAATAATGTCATTAAAACCTTTATTTTCTTTCAGTTTGAAGACCTCACATGGGAAGTTGAATATACTGATAAAGTTAGAAAAAGCATGGAAAATAAACATATTGAACCACAGTTAAAACTTAAAATGTTACGAATAATTCGAAGATTGGCAGATGGTGACTGGCAGAACAATTTTTGCAAAAAACTTAAAATAGGACCTCATGATTTCGATTTATTCGAAGCAAAGTTAAGCAAAGGTATGATAGGTACAATCATTTCTATCACCCATCATAAACTTTCGCAATCAATTCCAAATTAAATATTTGCACATGAAAAATGTATGTCTGATTTATTTACAGGTAGTCGTATAATATGGGAGAGAGCTATTAACTTTTCACCAAGATATAATGATAATGCTGCTTGTAGCTTGAATGATACCAATGACAATGCCACAGAAGTTCAGGAAGATAGAATTTACACAGAAGTCATAAGGGTCTGGGATATTGTTATAGATCACGACAAGATAAAAAGGTGATTCAGGCAACTAAAAAATCTCAAATGAATTTTTAATTGTGCTTCGTAATGCTTAATTGATGCTCATTTCGTGATCTATGTGCAGTAACTGGTTAACTCAATATATCTTAGAATATGATTACCCATTTCTGCACTAAGATGACGAAGTATCAAATTAGCATACAAGTATAGTTTCTACTAGCAAAAATATAGTTTATTAAATTTTCATTTGAATAGTAAAAAAGTTACTTTTAAGTTGATATTGAAATAAAAAGAATACAAAAGCAGTGTTATTTAATCAATGTCAAATTTAATTAATATATACTCTTGGTCTTTTACATATAAGACAGCAGAGCACTGTTTTGTACTTTATTGTGAACATGATAGTTTTAATTTAAGGCTTATAAACGAAATATTTATATTTGCAGGCTAGTATGTTGTCTTGTATCAATAGCACCATTTATTCTTTTCTATTACAAGATCCGTGGAACATATTATAAATGCACACCTGCGCGGCGAAAAAAGTCTGATTCAAAGAAAATTGAAGGGTTTGAAGACCAACGATGAATGCCGAAAAAGAAATTACCCTTTACTCTTCACTTCAAATTGTAAACCAGACTTTATATCTGGTACTGATGAGGTAAAAGGTGCTTTTTGACCAAACTCAGTTTAATTGCCAACGTTTCTATGTCTGTTGATATAATTAAAATCATAGATGATCAGCGTTTGTGTGTAACTTGTGTTGACTGATGTGTTTTGATTCCCTATTTCATTGTTTAAACTTCAATGGTAATCATAGTCTATGCCTCTTATCACTGACTTAATTTGTATCAAGATATCACAAATGTATAAATTTAAATAATAGATAGATGTCAGGTAGCGGGTTTGTCTTCCTCTATCAGACTGCATCACAATAGGAGCACAAATCTGACTTATCTGTTAAATATGTTTATAGCAAATTAATGTTTAAAGTGTATTATGAATAATCAATTTTACAGGTCCAAGAACGACATCACTTTCCCCCAGCCAGTTCAAACAAGACCGATTATAATATCCTGAAATTCTACACATGGGATGGAGCACTTGAAAGATATTTTCTTCATGGTGGCAAGAATAATATTGAATTTCCATTTAAAGTCACAGAAAAAGAAGATGCAATAATTCGTTTGAATGACAAAGGGCCAATTCTACTATTGGGCAGAAGTGGAACTGGTACTGCTTAGCATTTGACTTGAATATTTTGCTTAAGATAAATCAAATAAATGCAATTAAAAAAGATGAACCGCTGAAAGAAATGTTTATATTTTGATACAATATGTATTTGCATTTTTTGCAGGAAAAACAACATGTTGTTTATTTAGACTTTGGAATGAATACAAAAATCATTTGCCTCAAGGTGAAAAAAATATCGACGAACGTGAGGAAGGGCAATCTGAAGGTAACGTATATAAGATGTACACGAATCAATAATAACTCATACAAGTTAATTTTAATTAGGCAGATATTGTTCAATGTTTCGGCTATGTAAACTCAAGCTCAATATACCAGCAGACATCAACACTTTGTTCATATTGATAAAAAATGGTTGAATCAGTTAAAAGACTGTGAATATATTAAGAATAACATATGAAACGGAAAACGAAAGAAAAGGCATATAAAGGGTTCACTAAATGAATTAAAAGAAAAAGTTGTTTTCAATATGTATAAAGGATATTTCAACGATAGCAAATTTGTTAATTTCTTAAATTGACCTTTTACTCGTAGTTCACGATCTGATATATCAAATTTATCTGTAAATGATTCGTGTTGTTTCTGCAAATCATTATATTTGTTCTATTGGTGATGTTTACACTTGTATAACTTTGTAAATGTAAGGAAACCGCGAAAGCTTTGAAAATGACGAGAAAAAGGGTGCTGCATATGAACAATTTCATCAATTGTTCCTGACAAAGAATTACGTCCTGGCAGCTGAGGTGAAAAAGACATTTGGTGGTTTTTTGGACACTTACGATACTAAACAGTATAGTATATCGCAGGACCATGAGAAACCAGTTCCTTGTCGTTTCGAAGATTTGACAAACTCATCTTTCCCCCTGTTTCTTACTTCAAGACAATTCCTCTGTACACTTGACGCGTCTATTGGAAATCCTTTCTTTAGTAGAAACGAAGATGGTTCTTTAAAGGTTGTATGCCATTCTCCCTTATAATTGATTTACACATAACTTAATTGATCTAATTGTTTTATATCAAATATGAATTTCTTATGATTACTAATTTTTATGCATTATATTCATATACGAGTATAAAATAATAAACATCATGATATAGTATTTTATTGTCTTATCATATCATGTGTACTCTAACTCTGTAGACAAAGATATGAATGTATTGTGAAAATACATGATATGGAAGGATATTATGAATGAAATAGTTTTAAAGTGATTATCTAGGCCAAGAATATGAAAACGATGTAATCATACAATGCAAACGCCCTAACACACTGTGCACAATATATGGTATATTTAAACCAGCATCTTAAAAATATCTACGCGTAAAGCCATTGCAATCGAGTTCTTTTGAAATGGTGGTAATTCCGTTGCCCGTAGCTTGTTATCGGAAGATATCTAAATTTGCTTATTTGCATATCGGGTTTTGTAGGTTAATATCAATTTATGAGAAGCTTTCAATTCGATAAAATACGAGTATGTTAACAAAACAATAATATTAACTTATCCAAGTATAAAGGAAAGAAGACACGATGGTAAACTTGCAATAGCTATATAGTGTATGCTGCGCTAGTGTAATCAGGAAATTACCGAATCACTTAATTCTTTTAAGTGCTGAGTTAATGTTTTAACTTTTTGTTTGTATTAACAATTGCAATATTTCATATATAGCCTATACTTTGGAGATGTTGTATTTATCATTTATGTCAGTTATTTCGTTTAGCTTGGTAAGTAAGAGTGTAGGTCAATAGATGTTTTGAGCTTGTGCCTTGGGCGAGGTACACAATCCTCATTACGCTTTTTCGTAACTATAATACTTTGTAATATATATGGGGAAGTTGCTTGTCATTGCCCGCCGTTATATAACTGAAATAATATTAATATTAACTCAACTGTAAGACATATAAGAAGTTAAAAGTATATTAAATCTACTCTAGTATTGTTTTATGTGCTGCAAAGAACACAACAAAATAATACAAAAAACCAGCTCCGCCTAAGACTTCAATGCGGCAAAGATTTGAATAATAGTTGTTGCAAAGTTATTCTTAATTAGGTTTAATATCGACTGCGCTCTTCCTTATTTCCAAATTAGTCCATAATATTGTAAACATATCGTCCCCAAAGTGCAATAACTGAATAACTGCTATTAAATTTAGAAGGACTGATAACGTTATTGCACTAATGTGATTATAACATGTTTTGTTAAATATACACATATTGACGTTTACCTATGCACCGGCCGATATGCCAATTAGAAAATTACGATTACTTTTAGAAACTAGCAACAGACAATGAATAATGTATGTCAATGTTAAAAGTACAAAAATAAATCCGGTTTCATCGGCTATCAACGTAAATATCAGCTTAAAGATGTTGGTTCATGTATGCTATATAACTATGCACCGTTAATGCATTAAATTTTACATTTTATGGTTATATTTTGTTTGAGTAGTTGACTAGTGTTATCGCTAATTTTACGTTGATTTCCTATTGCAATGCAGTATCCTGTGGAAGGTTGGGCCGATGAGGAAGAATTTACCGCTCTGGATATATTAGATTTTGATTCTTCCGATGAAGACACCGCTGATGGAGACGATTTCTACCCTGATGTATCTAGAGAAAGACAACAAGTATACACTTATTTTGTTTTTGACTTTGCTGAAAGCAATGAATGTATTTGTTTTTGATGCTTCATTTGTAATGATAAGTATGGGAAATGTTTCAAATGTATCAATGATATTAGGTATATCAGAAGAAACTTATGACATTTGAACATGTAAACTAGATTTACCCTGAACGCTTTTGCCAAGCATTTCAGCATTCCCCATTCAATGTGTTTTGTAATTAAAAAATCTTCGGATTTAAACGTAAAAAAGTAATAAAAAATATGATTATCAATTTAAAAAAAATGAGGTATTAAATCGTATTTATTTTAAAAAATTAAAAAAAAATGTTATGATTTTTTTATAATGGCTTTTAGGTCTCTAACATTTCAAGACATGAAATTCTTGACACAGATATTTGTATCATTAATAAACTAAACAAGTTTACTTAAATACTTCTTCACTTTAAGATCATATTTTATACTTAACATAAGTGTATGTAATTTTAGAAAAGTTATGTTGAAATCAAGAAGGAGGTCACTTTCGAAACCTTTGAAAATTTGATATGGCCGAAACTAGAACGCAAATCAGGTGGACACAGATATAATCCTTCGTTAATCTGGACAGAGATAATGTCTTTTATCAAGGTTAGTTGACTGGTATACAATCTTATAAACTTAGTATAATTCACAAAATATTACTATTTGCGATAATATCCCCATGTTTAAAACAAATCATTGTACATTGGACGGTATTTAGAAACTTTTGATTTTTTCAACAGGGTTCTTACGAATCGCTCTACACAAATCGTGGATACATATCCAAAGAGGAATATTTAAAGATAGGCGCGAAAAGAGCTCCAAATTTTGCAGGAGAGAGGGAAGAGGTCTATGAGATATTTGAACTGTATGAATGTAAGAAGAGACAGCTCCATATGTTCGATGAAACCGACGTTGTTTTTGACATATTCAGAAGGCTTGACGGCTTAGATTCATGTCCGATAACGCTTCATCAGGTATATGTAGATGAGGCACAGGACTTCACACAAGCGGAACTATTTCTTCTGATTACACTTTGTAGAGATCCAAATAACATGTTCTTGACAGGTAAATGATTTAGACGGTATTTAAATACTTAATAATAACTTTGTTTTCTTTCTTGTAAATTTTTATTACCATTGATATATGGAATCAAATGCATAATTATGCATTCTTTCGGGGAAAATAGGTATACTGTTTTGCAAATGGTCGTCATTCTTTCGAATTGTCGCCCGGTTCGTCTGTATGTCGGTCTTTTCCGCTACAAAATTGATAATCATTCACAAATAGCAAATAATTTTTACCCCGAGCATGAGACGTAAAAGGCCGATCACCTTCATTGAGTAGAATATCTCTGTTGGTTTCAGTGCATATGCGCGCACTTCAAAGTTCCCGTGAACTTCAATTAAAGACATATTTCCTTTCAATTACTTGAAAACTTTACAGGTTGATCACACTCGTTGAGTAAAAAGCATTTCCATTCGGAACATCTCTTAATGTTCAGAATCATTTATCTAATACGGATTGAAAATGGAAATAACTAGAAAATAGCTGTGTATCGGATACAAAAATATAAATGTGTATTAGTTTATAATCAATATTCATGTTTAATGTTTTATCTATTTTAAGACTGTGCATTTATGACACGTAAGGAAACTTAAGTTTGGTATTAAAATTGAATATGAATTTTTTTCTTGGTAATATGCACCAGGGGCTTAAACATCTTTTACATCCTTATATCTGTTCTGTATAATTAATCAGAACAAAAATTTGTAAAGAATGTAACAAGGTAAATATGGTAAACATACTATAACATTAACAATTTATCTGTGACATTGATAATGGTTATTCTAACTGTACATAAGCGATTATTGTGCCAATTCTTGTTAATGACATGCATATATGTAGTTAGTCAATCGTTCAAATGTTGTATAATGAATGCTATAGGAATTTTAGATTTAAAAATCTAAAAAGTGCATAAACTTAAACAAGAAGTATATTAAAGTACACTCATTTTCATAATCAAATTAAGGCTTTAAAGACGATATCATCAAACAAAGTTTTCAACGATCAACTGGCAATATGACAAATTAATTCAAACTATATACAAAGCAATATGACAAATCAATTCAAATTGTATACAAAGCAATATTCTATTATAGGTGACACTGCCCAAAGTATCATGCGAGGAATTTCCTTCCGATTTGAGGATCTTAAAGGTCTCTTCCATCACGTAAAACAAGTAGTTGAAGGAAAAAAGAAGCAAAGCCAATCGTCAAAAACCCAATGCCTAACAATAAATGTTCCAAAAAGGGTAAATATTGTAATGCCAGTATTTGGTAATGGCTAATTATGTACTTTGAACATAGTGAGTTAAAACATATTTTTTTTTGACTATTACATGTATCTAGTTGAGAAAAATTAAAAGCACTGAGTGCCTTGATGTTGCATATATCATGATATGAACTTGATGGATACATATATGGCAACATGTTTAAATTTCTTTTCAAACATAAAGGTAGAAAATTTATATGATTTAACCCTTTATATTCTATATACAATTACCCTGTTTGTTCAAACAATAATTATGATTTAACCCATACTTATACTTCTGATAAGTCAACACTTTTTTCCCTACAGCTCAAAATGTTTTTCTACCACTCCTTATGTTGATATCATTAAAAAGAAAACGACAAATTTACTATCGTAGTTAATTACAAATTCAATGTGAGATTGGAAATTCCTGTGGTTAGGGTGACAGAGACTAACTGGTTAGGGTGACATAGACTAACACTTTATGGACTATTTTGTCCTAAAGCTTATTTATTTATAGACACATGTTAGTTCTTCTTTTTAGGTCATCTAAATCAACTTCAAACAACTAAAATAATTTTCTTCTTTTGTTCTTTATATTTGTATCCTTTTTTTTGAATGAAGTTAAGTACATACGACGTAAGTTACATAGCTCTGTGTAAGTATCAATATGTTAGGATTATTTATATTTATCAGGAAGTAAATCATCAGTGTAATAAGAAATGATATGAATATGCTTATTTATCATTGCAGGTACATAAACTAATTTACAACTATAGATCACACTCCGGCATTGTTTCAATGGCTGCAAGCGTCTTGGATATCATGAGCTACTTTTTCAGGGAGTCATTTGACCTGTTGGACCCTGACCAAGGGCTTTTGCCGGGTCCAGAGCCAATTCTGCTGGAATCTTGCACTTTTAGTGATTTGGCTGTAATGTTAAGGGGACACAAAAGAGAAACACCAACTATTGAGTTTGGTGCTCATCAAGTTATCCTTGGTAGCTTTTGAAATATCTTTTTTATTATGAGTTACAAAGATTTTTGACAAGTTGTATGTTCTTACATAAACGGTTGTTTGTATATATAACCCAAGCCGCTAGGTCGTTTATATACCTGTCAAGAAAGAATCTTTCTCACGAATTTATGATACAGCAAACTTCATTTTAGAGACAAAAAAAAGATTTCTTCAAAAATTGACAGCAGCCCTAGATATAAAACCATGTAAACTTCACAATTTCCAAATGAAAAGTGACGTTACAAACATATCAAGATTCCTTATTACGCTGCATCTTTATCAAGTAAAGCTGTATGCACAACAACGTTTATATCTAAATGTTATGCACTGAATTTTAAATGTTTGTCTTTTGTTTGCTTAAATTATGAATCTTATTGAAAAATCAAAGTGTAACAACTATCAGTTTTTCCCGTATATAACCTTTTGATATAATTGTAATATAGAATTATTTGCGATATGTGTTTTCATAAATGCATAGTACTTTGATCGGATCATATTATTTTAAATTTTAAGTATATGATGAAGAGGCTAGGAAAAATCTGCCAGAAGAGTTAAGTTGTGGATTAGTTCTCACTATCTATGAATCAAAAGGTCTGGAATTCGACGACGTTTTGCTCTACAATTTCTTTAAAGACTCCAAGGTACAAACTTCAAAAAAGGATTGTAATGGTTATTATAGAAACAATATTTCATATCTAAATTTAAATAGGATACAAATATTTGATAAAATTCCAGGACAGCTTATCTTTGGTTTTACAATAGAATATAACATATTTCTCAGCAATGTAGATCTAATGATTTTATTGCTCACAATCAATCATTTTATATAGTAATGAAATGTAAAAGATAAATTAATCCTTTAAATCAAAGTTAAGATTACGTCTAATTTTAGGCTTCAAAGGAATGGCGTGTAGTCACACAATACTTGGACGAATTGGCATCTGGCGATATCAATATAGCATCGCAGCAAAGTGGAGTGTGCGTCTCAATTGATACAGGTAAGTTCATTTAATTTACCTGTATATTCACATATTAAACAGTTTATGAATAAGTATTTTGAAGTTTTGCAATATAATTTGGGATATGTATTTGTTCATCATTTTGTTTTACAGATGTTCTTTCATCACAAAATCGACCAAGACCTTTAAATTTTGATCCCTGTCAGCACAAAATACTCAATTTTGAGCTGAAACTACTGTATACGGCGTTGACGAGAGCAAGGGTAAATGTATGGATATTTGATGAAAATGAGGACTTTGAAGGAACAAGGCCCATGTATGAATATTTTAAAGCAAGGAGAGTCGTTAAACCTATTGCGATCACCGATGAGTTGGCCGGTCAGTGTATTAACACTTTTTCGTTTTATTCTTTGGACATATATACATATACATTCTACTTACAATTATATCTAAAATACTTAATATGAGAATGCTAGAAACTATTGCAATTTTGTAACTAAATCATAGAGCTTATGTTTGCCTTACACTATAAATGTTTTTTTATTCGAGTGTCTTTGCAGATCTTTCAGGAGTGATGTTTGTTGACAACTCTGATAGCAAGGAATGGTTACAGCAAGGTGATTATTTTCTGAAAAACCGTCTGTATGGTATTGCAGCAAAATGTTATCGAAAGGGTGGTGATGAATATAAACAGGCTCTAGCCAAAGGACATGAACTAGCCCACATGGTAGGTTAATTGAATAATATTCATCTTTTATATTCAACGTATCAAAACATTTTGTAGATGCTGCATTGATGTATTCAAAAGTAATAATTATACAAAGCGTCAATAAATGTGTGTTATATAGAAAATAAAATATGTTCTAAATTACAGATCACAAATTTAGATTCATTTACATGTCGAATGAGCTATTCTCTGTTTGTGATTTAGGCTTCGAGGAAAAGAAACATGGCATGCGATTTAAAACAAATGAAAACAGAATTTCTGCTTGCTGCAGAAAAGTTTCTGCAATGTGAACATTATCTGAATGCAGCAACCTGCCTTAGAAATGTAAAAGAAGTAGATTTAGCTACACAGCTATATGAGAAGCTTGGTTTGGTAATCAAACTGTTTTTCTATTATTTTATGCCTTTGTCCGCGTTTAGCTTTTTACTTTTGTCTTATTATTGTATGTACATACAACTTTAAAATACTAGCGAAAAAAACTGTGCATGAGTACAATATGCTATTATGTAAGAAATCGCAGAACAAGTTTAAGGTTGCTGATCACTTAAATTGATATGGTTATTGCATAAGCAGTATGTATGATAGAGATACGTTTCTACAGACGTTCTATAAAATCTGTATAACATTTCTTCTCGTCAATATCATGTATGTCAGGTATTTGACTTGCAACTTGCCTGAAATCTACTGGTAGAAAAAGGTCCATTTGGGGGCATTATTTTAACGTAAATTAACATACATTGTTTTTATTTCAAAATAATTTAATTCATCAAATAACGCGTTAACTGAACATACATTTCCAATGTTTTCGTTCATAGAGAGATGTACAACCCAAATGTATTCACTGAAAGTTACGCGTGGATGCTCTGACTGTGACCATCTATTATAATCATACGATCTTTTTCAGGCATCTACAGTTTTTTCGGTACACACCAAAATTGTTCCGAAACGTCAGTATAATAGAAATTCAATAGAGAAAAACGTAATCTCTTAAGAACCTCCAAAACTACAAAATGTTTCAGGCTCGGTTTGATTGAACCTGTTTATTGACGGAAGTGGTAATTGCAGGCTACCTTTCAGGCCCGCTAGCACCGGCTTAAGTAGTATTCAACATTAAAACATGAAATGGTGAAATTCTGAATTAAATGTGTCCATACGACGGTTATCATGGAACCTTAAATGTGACACTTGTATGCCATTCCATGACAAGCGGACCATGGTCCCCAAATAAACGGATGCCGCACACGAACTTTAATTGGTTTTTAAGATATATAATGAGTTAGTTTGTTGGTGAAGCAAAACATTTCTGACTGGCTCAGGGCATAAATGCAGTAAAATCTGACCGACCTCTTTGACTGTTACAAGCAAGACAAACGTCTTAAACGTCAGGGAAATAATTGGAAGTGAGGGCATGTACACGATTCGTGATATTGCCGAAACTTTTGACATATCTCTATCTCAGATACATTTCATTTTTAAGCGTATTTTGAAGGAAAGAAAGATTTCCGTAAGATAGATACCCAAAATATGGAGGATCAAACAAGGGTACTAGTACAAACCGCTAAGCAATTCCTTAAAATGTTTCTAAACTTCAATCAAAGACTATTTGCAAACGATTTCATTAGTGACAAAACAAGGGTTCACTATTTCGAAGAAATGTGAAAAATTGGACTAAGTTATGGCTAACCAAACACGGTAGAAAACCTTTTGTTGCCATAAAAACCATAAACAAATAGACCTTAATTGCAGATTCTTCGCTATTGATGGTATAGCCATACACATTATGTGGCCGAAGGGCAAAAGTGCCACAAGCCTTCATTATTGAGATATTTTACATGTATAGTAAAAAGCTCAGACGATGTTTTCAGAAACAATGCACATGTCATGATACAGGCATACTTCATGTTATTAAAAGATATTATAGCATAAAATCGGCTATTTTTCCCTCTTTTGCCCATGTTATAACGGGACCAAAACCATGTGTTAACATAGTCACGCGCTCTTGTTATAGCCCGGTTTCACCTATGCGCAATACATGCAGGGCCCAGTAAACAAACAAACAAAAAATGACGATTTGGCCTGTTTGCCGAAGAGTCATGCGCTCTTGTTATATTGAAATTTATTGATTCGAGGGCCTCAGTAACTATGCCGAAAAAACGGCGTATATACATCGGTGCTAATCTTGGTTGTCGCCCTTTCTAAGAAAATGACAGTTGTCAATGTAAACAAATACAGTAGAATCTACCTGTCATTCAGTTTAACACTCCGATTAACTTACAAAACTAGATAACACAAAATTAATATGAGAAAATGTTTTTTATTTATGTTAATGTTGATAAATACTCTTTATATTTCTTTGAGAGAATAATGCTTAGTGCCTGATTTTTTTATAAACTTGTTTGCTTGAAAAAAAAAAACGATTCTGATGTCACTGATCTTTTTTCTACCGTCAATCTGAAATCATACTAAGAATTTCTGAGGGTCATGTTTTGTCTTGGGTAGAGGGTAGAGTAATGTAACGTTTTTTTTTCTTGAGATAATACATCTCCAAAGGCCAATTTAAGCTTTGTAAAATCAATTAAAATTCAAAATTTCGTTCGGTTCCGTGAATTTTCCAAGTTGTTGGCCCCGGAAAAATGAAACGCATACGTAAAACATAGAATTGGATAAATACCGTCCAAGCACAAGACTTTAATGTAATTGTGTTTTGTATAAACTATACATCACGAATCTGTTTGAAAATTTTATGCTATAATAGCGTCAACGCACGTTTGTTTCGTGTTATAAAGTCTGCAGAGTCCCTCGGAACTGTTGGAGCCCTCGCCCTACCGGGCTCGGGCACCAACCGTTCCTCGGGACTCTGCAGACGTTATAACACGGAAAAACGTGCATTAACCCTATAATGATACATCTGAGCTTTTGAAGCAATTGTTGCAATCGGAAAAGGTTACCGTCTTGTCACGACGTAAAATGTTATGATCACCTGGTCGACGATACATGTCCTGATAGACCCTTGTTTCGGTCATAAGTCAGAGGTCTATCTTAATAAACGTACCATCAGATATAAAAATTATGTCATTGAAACCGCGGAGAATAATCTGTGGAATGTAATGTTTAAGTCAAATGCCTTTAATGAATAGTCACAAATTTGATATTAAATACTTTCCTGACACTTTAACCGATGTATCTGAACATTTTAATTCTGAAGGGCATTCTACCAAAGAATTTTCATTCCTGGCAATTGATAAAGTAAAGAATAATTGCAAAGATAATTAAAAGAAACTTCATGGATGTATAAGCTAGGCACAATTATTCCTGATGGCATGAATTCCAAAATACTTTATTAATTTTGTAGATTATAATTCTTCATTTAAATATTTATTTTAATAATTGTATTTTCTATTTTTTGCTTATGACTTTAAAATAATTTCATGTCATATGTAGTTTATACTGGTTTTCTAATTTTACATTGCTTTTTTACTGCATCCTTAACAGTGTTAAGTATCTTTTATTAAGATCCTACGTTTTACATTTATACGCCAAATTATGTATAACATTTTGACGTCGTTGTCCTTGACGTCATATGACGTTGACGTCACTTCCTGTAAAACGAAATATACCTGATGAAGACTTTTGAGTCCAAACGTTGTATATTTTTCAAATAAAATACTTGCATTTTTAAATTGAAACTGGAGTTGATTTCTATATTCAAACTTACTTTTATATATCGTAAAATACAGATTACATATCGAACAACATAAACATTTGACACATGCACAGTAAATTTTCCAGCTTGTATTCACAGGACAGATAAAATATCTGAAATAGACTATGCATTTATCGATTACTCTGATTTATTGGAAAGTTTAATCTATCAGTATGATATTGTAAGCATAAATTTAAATAATGTTGGCATTAAATGTTTATTTTATGTAGTCTTTCAGTCTTTCATTTGATAAGCTCTGTTTCACCATAGTTTTTGTGCCCCAAATTAAGTGGCGGGCATTTAGATTTACCCTTGTCCATCCGTCCGTTCTTCCGTCCGTCCGTTCTCTTTTGTGTCGCAGGTAACTCAAAAAGTATTTGACCTAGAGTCATAAAACTTTACAGGAATGTTGATCAGCATGTGTAGTTGTGCACCTGGGTATTTTTGTCTTGATATTTTCAGTATTTTTAGAGTTATTGCCCTTGACTTAGTAAAATTTTGCAATTTTCAACTTGTGTCGCATGCCACTCAAAAAGTATTTGACCTAGAGTCATGAAACTTTACATAAATGTTGATCAGCATGTGTAGTTGTGCACCTGGGTATTTTCGTCTGGATATTTTAAGTATTTGGATATTTTAAGTATTTTTAGAGTTATTGCCCTTGACTTAGTAAAATTTTGCAATTTTCAACTTGTGTCACATGTTACTCAAAAAGTATATGACCTAGAGTCATGAAACTGTACAGGAATGTTGATCAGCATGTGTAGTTGTGCACCTGGGTATTTTCGTCTGGATTTATTTAGTATTTTGAGAGTAATTGCCCTTGACTAAGTAAAATTTTGCAATTTTCAACTTGTGTCGCACGTAACTCAAAAAGGATTTGACATAGAGTCATGAAACTTTACAGGAATATTGATCAGCATGTGTACTTGTGCACCTGGGTATTTTCGTCTGGATTTATTTAGTATTTTTAGAGTTATTGCCCTTAACATAGAAAATGTTTGCAATTTTCAACTTGTGTCGCATGTAACTCAAAAAGGATTTGACATTAAACCTTACGGGAAGGTTGCTCAGCATATTTAGTTTTGCACCTGGGGTTTCGCTTGTGAATTTATCCAGTATTTGTAGAGTTATTTCCCTTGACTTAGTAAAAACTGCTCATTTATTTGTTATTTGTTCCTTGAGTTAGAATCAACCAACTTTACAGGAATAATGATCAACATCACTAAATTACAGGAATAATGATTCACATCACTGTGAAGCTATGCACCTGGGACTTTGCATGTGGATTTTTTTCAGTTTTGTTAGAGTTATTGCCCTTGACTTACAGTAGTATAAATTTGCAATTTTCAACTTGTTCATGCATAGCTCAAAAAGTATTTCACTTGTAGGCCTGAAAGTTTACAAGAATGTTGGTCAGCATGTGTACTTATGCACCTTGGGGTTTGCTTGTGGATTTATTTAGTATTTGTAAAGTTCTTGCCCTTTACTTAGTAAAAGATTTTTAGTTTTCAAAAAATATTTGACCTAGAGTCATAAGATTGACAGAACAGTGGCGCGTTTGGGGCACCTGTGTCCTATGGATACATTTCTAGTTTTATATTCAAATTAAGGAGATGGCGATATAAATCTGATAGATTTGTCATGCGTAAGTTTTTAATATACTCACCAGTTGATAATCATTTTCTATCCATTTCTGCTTCAGTATGAAAAAGCTGCTGAGCTGTTTAAAAGGCACAAACAGTATGAGAGATGCGGCAAATTGTATGAACGCTTTGGACGCTACAATAAAGCAGTGAATGTTCTGTTTGAAAACGAGCTCTACGGCCTGGCATTTGATATTTTTGAAAGACACGCTGACGAGGTATGTACTCATTTTACGCCGTTTGATTTCCTGTTATTCATTTCCCGGCAACAATGTTTGAATGGTGCGTATATGAGTTACATTGCTCATGATTTATGTCAGTTGTAAATTTTGTCTGAAGAGTAAATTCAGATCTGTTCTCGGAAATTACTCGAAACAAAACAGACAGACAGACACAAAGAGACCAAATCAGGTGCCGTGATAAAAATATTACACTCAATCTGCTCTCATGGTTTATTGTTTTTATTCTGAAAATGCAATGTCTTATCATGGACCAGATTAGAACTTCACCTTAAATCTATTATGGAGTCAAACACATAACACAAGCGAGCTTGCTATATGCCAAGTTTTGTTACAATATCTTATTACTTACTCTTTCTATATTTTTTAAAAAGTGACATTGACCTGACCAGGGAGGTGCAAAAGCAATCCGAACCATATAAGATTGCTATTTTGCAAGTTTGATAACAATATCTCATTGCTTACTCTAGTAATTTTCCATATTTTTTCAGTCACATTGACATTGAACCGCCTCAGGAGGGTGGAAAGCGAGATCTTCAAATAAATTTGCCATAAACCAAGTTTGAATGCAATGTCTCATTGCTAACTCGCCCGGAAACAATCTTGACTTTGACCCAAACGCGCTAGAATTAGCAAACCGCAATTACCCAAACCGGGAACTTTAGGTTCGCGATATACGTAATTTAGTTGCAATAACCCATTCCAAATTTTCGTTATCATTCGGAAATCCATGAATTTGACGAACGGACGAATGGACATTGTCGGTGTTTGTCTTATCATTTTGTATCGGTTTCAATTGATACAATTATACATCGGGCTAAATTTCAATTTTAGGTAGAACATCTTTAATTTAGTATTTGAAGTTTCTTTCTGATGGCAAGAACTGAAATCTCTAGCTCGAATATATAAAGATCAAAAATTTGCAAGGGATAAATTTTGCAAGTTTGCAACATCTTTGTATTTTATAGGTTAAACTGAAAAGAAATTTGCGAATATGTTAACTTTCGCCTTTCAGTGGTGTTCTCCTAAGCGTCACTATTGCCATACAAAAAATATCTTTAAAAAATAGCACATACTTTTTTATGTTTTTTTTACTTGAAAGTCACATTGCCACTTTCATGTTGTTTTTTTTTTCAGGTAGAGAAAAGATGGCTTGATAAATCTTCTGTTTTTTCCCATGTCAATGTTCATTTAAATATATTTGTTTTTGTACTTTTATCAAACTCTTGAGACGGAACATCTATCAAACTAACTACCGAAAGTAAAGAAAGTCAAATATATAAGACATGACAAGCAAAATCAATCAATAAAGCAAAAAAATACTAAATATTGGAAACAAATTTATACAAACAAATTAACTAACAACTTATAATGCAAAGATGGTTAAATTATTTGCAGAAAATAACACAAACAGAGGAAACGTTGCGTGAACTAACGAGAGTCAGCAGTTCTAATGTTTCCTTCACAGAGGATAAAATCTATAAACGGTATGACCATCTGTTTCTTGAGCCAAAATGCATTATTAACAATTTGTTGGTCAAAACTAGATTGACGTAACAAAATGTCAAAGGCATATTTTGTGAAAGTTTTTTTAGAAATAACATCTCTCCATTTAACGAACGCTTATTAGATGCGTGTATATTGGAAAGCACTTCACATAATCCCGAGTAAAGTAGATGATAATACTACTTTTTATTAGTATACTCACTGTTAGACATTGAATGCTAATGTGTACATCGACTTGCAACCTCGTAAAATGCATTTTGTCAGATTAGCATTTTTTTCTTTCACTCTCAAAGGGTTCTGATATATTATAATTGACAGACAGATATAATTTATAATTAATGTTGTTGACATTACAGCGCTGCTGAACAGTTTCATAAATGTGGAAACGTTGAGAGTATGAACAAAGCTGTCAGTAGATTTAAACTAAGACGTGATATGATTGAATTTTACAAAAAGAATGGATACATATCAGATGCTGCTAGAGAGCTATTAAGTATAGGTAATAACATGCAGCCATAAATAAAGCTGCAATTGTTGCAAACAGACCATGGGTATTAAATAGGACAGCCAGTTATTAACTATGCATTTCATTCACCTCCTCTTTCTTTTAATATCTTAACGAGTTAACACTCCCGATATATTCTTATTTGTCACTTGAACATGTGCTAAAACGTTTGATTGTCCTATTTAAACACAATTAATTTGTTTTGTTTTTATCTGACAGAAACACGTTTAATCTGTAAGGTAAAACTGAAATATAGTTAATATAATATTTTTTCTTTTAACATAAAATGCCTGCCCTAATCTCTCTTTATACGTGTATCAAATTATTCTAGGAGAGATATCAGAAGCTGTACACATATATCTTATCCATGGCAAATTCTCAGACGCCTTAGAAGTTGCTGAAAAGTCTAAAGATGATAAAGAAATTGCAAAGTGTTTGCTCGTTCGTAGTAGAGATACCATTTCATGTGAAACACAAACCAATGATTCATTAGAAAACGATTTGAAAAGGGCATTATTACTTTTCCGTAAGCTAAAGGACAAGGACTCGACTGGAAAAGTGATGCTATTGCAAGCTAAAGTATATGATGATGTACAATATGTTCGTTCTGCTGAGAAAGAATTCACCAAGTTACCTCCAAACAAAGAAGGTTATATTGAGTGCTGCAATGCATTGGTACCATTTTTAGACAAGAGAAACATCTATGATTGGCTTCCGCAATTTCTACTTAAAGGTGTTGATAATTTGTTTGATGTTTTCAGGAATCTTTTATTTAAAGCAACTATTCAGTCTAAATTGCATGATAAAGCATTCCGGTTTTATGAAATGCATTTGATTACTAGAGAAGGAAAACCGGACCTTGTAGCGTACCCGAAAACAAACCCGATCTGTACCAAAATGCTTCCAGAACAGAAAATGCGCGACATTGAAGCTCAAGGTTTAAATGACATGAAATGTATTCATAAGATTGTAATGCGTTTACTTAAAGACAGTACGCACTGGACAAAGTTCTTAAAGGACACACTATTACATCAAAGATCTTCAGCTCTAGACAGGTTTTCCGAAGATTCTGAAGGCACAAAGTCGTGTAACATGGTTCAAGAATGTAGAGACAAACTCCTACAGCTTGTTGAAACGGATATGCTGCTAGCTAAATATAACTTTTTCACAAATAAGGTTGACACAATCTTATTTGAATATGAAAATAAAGGTGGAAATGATGCCCCGGCTATTAGGAAACAAATAAAGGCCTTAAATTTTCCCATCGAAGCAAATGAAAATTACATGGCGTGCAAATTTATCTTGAAAAATCTTATACAACCGCGTCATCCTCTGTTCGTTGCCGATGATACTGACACATACATGTTCGAAAACCAGTTTTTCCGTGTAGTTATGGAGAGGTTCTTATCGCAGAAATTTCAAGACTCCTATCGAAGTTTGAAAAATGGTGAGCCAGTTGAAGCCGTTCAGAAATTTCGACATAAGCTGGCCAAATTGAAACTACAGGACAGACGCACTGATCTTGATCATCAACTATTATGTCTTGAGATTTTTTTCACCATTGCATTATTTTATGTTGCAAAGGATAAATCAGTACAAGACAAGGAATTCACGTTTTATATTCCAAACACTTATATGACTTTGTTGAATTTTGTTGAATCAACATTGAATACAAAATTTTCTATTCTTGAAATCATTCCAAAACTGACTCCAGGAGAAGGAAATAAGTTATTGAATTGTGTTACAGGGATTGCTGATGTCATATCTAATCAAATGGAAAAACAAGTCCTGAAGTACAAAGACAAAGAAAACAAAATAATGCTTTTGTCGAGACTTATTATTCTAAATAATACAATGTTATGCAATGGACAACTCGTTTCCTCAGAATGCTACAAAATTCTTGCAATATCAGCTTGTAAAATTATGACAGAATATAGTACTTTAAAGGATGCTTCAAAGAAAACTGTCCACAAAATAGAACAGTTAACAAGAATAAAAGATGTTGCAAAAGGTTTAGAGGATTTTTTTACCACTCGTGATATGGGCGAAAGTTTACAATCTATCAGATGGATTCCACAAGAATGCGATCTTGTTTTCTCTGCATCTCCAATAGACACCGAGGTCATGCCAACAGCAGCAATGTTAGGTATCAAATGCAAAACTGAAAATAGTAGTGATCGAATGACGACGGACAGTGAAGCAGCTTCATCAGCAGAAGGCGATGATCGTAGATCAGAAAGCACATCTGAAAAGCTTAATTTAGTTACAGGGAAAACACATGAACCTAAAGACTACTCTGAAAAAAGTGACAATAGCAAAAAAGACGACGAAATATGTTTTAATGAAGCCGATTTTCCTGCATTAGAAACAAATGTATCTAAAAATGAAGAGCATGTTAAACAAGAAAAAAAGAAAAGAAAACAATTGACCAATGATCCAGTGAGCGAAGAAGAAAATAAGCCCAAATCATCAGATGGAAGTTTAACGGATTTCTCGGTTAATCATAATCAAGAAAAAAATATAAAAAGTCACTCCATGGAACTAAATCATACTAATTTAGAATCTACTGAAATACAACCTAAAGATGATAACATAAAAACGCTTCCTTTTCTACATGTTGATGAGGTTTTCCGGGAAATGTTAGAAAATAATTACGAATGCGTTATCTGTGGAATCCTTTACGAAAACAGAGGCGATGACATTAGTGACAATAATGACGAGAGAGTTAAACTATTAGAGGAATCCGATGTCGAACGAAACCAAATTCCCTATGATAGTAGAATAAGCAGCGATGTTTCAGTGGCTAAAGAAAATCATGAAATGGAACAAACGCACTTGGAGAATTTCAAGGTTTTCGAAAAGTTTGAAAGAACTTACAATGAGGATATCAAACCAATGATTTGTAGAGTGAATGAAGTTCTTAAAAATTCTAGATTTCATTCGCTTGATGATAATTGTGTTGTTGCCAAACATCGCGAAAACTTTAAAGAAGAGATACAGAGTCTGACAGATTACAATGACAGACTTCAAACACATATTATTGATGTACTGCGTAACAGGACATGGGCCAATGGGATAGAAAGCATGCAATCTATTGCAGATGTTCTTCAGTCGTACGTGACAAATTCTGCTAATGAAATATTGGTAAGGTAACTTAATATCTTGCATATTTAAAGACTTTAATATACTTTTTACCAAAGTTTCATAAGATAACGTGGTAGCTTCTTTGTTTGTAAAAAGTATAAAGCACTAGAACAAGAAATCTGACGGCTTATATCATATGTGAACAGATACAAAAATACAACAAAAGATTATTTGATGATGAAAAGTAAGTTTTGAAAAAACACGTCTCTAAGATTGATTTATTATATTACTCTACTTCAAAAGAATTTTTCTATTTTATGGAAGAAAGATGAAGAGAAACAATCCTTTAAAACTTTTGAAATGTTTTATGTAAATATTGTTACAGGAAAAACCCATGTCTCTTGCAACCGACATGGAACAAACTGTTGTTAAACAACCAGCTCCAAACATGCATGAAAACGACTTTGAGGAAGTTGCTGTTGGGCCAACACTCAAGAGAAAGAAATATATATCAAGAAAGGCAAGGCGTGATAAGAAAAAACAGCTTGTCAAAAAATGACCAATCAAACCAATTGTCAGTTTTGAATATATGTCGCACGAAAAATCTGGTTACATTTCATAAATGAATAAATAGAAAATAGTCCAACTTGTATATAGAAATTAGAATTGACAAATGATAGATATTAGAATGTGTTTGAATGTGTTTGAATATGGTCTTCTTGATGAAAGTTTTATGTCTCATCGCTATACATATGGTCCACGTCCGTAATTTAGTTATTACATAATGTACTATACTTTGTGACCTAAATCTATAATTTTAAAAAAATTATCCTTGATGAAATATATTTGTAAATATCATGTTTGAGTAAATAGTTTATTATTTCCGACATTTAAAGTGGCATTATGTTCATATTTGAGCTGAATTGACTTTACAATTCAAAAGATAATAATGGTGACTGACAAACAGTTGATAAGGATAAAATATAAATATGCCCTAAATATAAAAAAGACTGTCCCACTCTTTTTACAAATTGAACATTACAGGTAAATTCCAATGGCTTTTTACAGAAATTTCCTTGGCCCACATGAGTTATTTATTGTTCATTCAAAATAAATTATAAAACTGAAAGGGACTGTGGAAAAATGTAAACTTATTTTGAAATTCACCTTATTACTCACATAATATCCTTTGATGGGCATAATGTAACTTTAAGAAACTGAACAAAACAATTATAACAAATTTGCTATTTTACTGAAGGCTTTGTGTGTCAATACTGAATTTTTAAGTTCAAATAATCATAACAATATAACAGAGACTGAAGCATGGACAGTAAGATAGATATTAATATATTGGTTTTGCACATGGTCATGAATTTTAAAGAAAATGTCAAGATCTCAAAAGATAAGTTTAGCTTTTGATTTCGCAAATCAAGTTTACTAAAAGTTTAATTAATTTACTGAACGATAATTTAATCGGAATTTGGGGAAATTATTTTATTTATAAGACAAATGCTAACTTAAAAAGCAAGGATTACATCCCTATTTTACTTTACAAGAACAAATACAATCAAGTTTGTTCGTCGACGTAGGATTGGTTTTGGCAAATGCATACTTGCCACGCATTTAAGTCTGAGCATGAACGAACGGACTAGATCCATGATATCTCGAAAAGGCCACACGGTCCTCATTTGATCTTAATCCTTTTTATTTGCATTAAACATCGAACGCGAATGCCTCTATGAGTAATGTGACCGGATAACCTTTCTTCGTAAGCTTTTAAGCTATATGTGATAATACGTATATATTTTCAACATTGATGGTCAGTGTAAATGTTGGATATACAGTAAAATCTTCCCACTGCTCTGATAATTGTAGCCAAGTTGTTTTCATACATGCAAAAAAGTGTTATTTTGATGTTGAAAATTTGATACTACATTTGCTCTTTTAACGAACCAATCCGTGTACGTATGTGGAAGGTACTTATATCAAATTGTGGTATAACTGCATATAAGAGACTTATTTCAAGCTCTCCATTAAATCAGTTAATAGACTTTCTCGCCGTATTCTGATCATAATAATTTCTTATTTCTTATTACAACAATTAATAAAATGATAACGTAAACATATGTTAAAGGGTCTTACGCCTGATTTCTTCATGATGTATATGTCCCCTCTTGCTTGTAAACTTATAATATTGTATAATTTTTTATGTTTATTCATTCCATAGCATTGTCTGTTTTGTGCATGTGAATTGATGTTCTTTTATAAATTTTGTGTATTATGCATGTTGCTCTCCGCTGATGGAGGTAATAAAGAATATATCTATCTGTACCGAGATTTGAGGTTGTATTAAATAGCCTGGGTGGTGATTCTTTGCTGTGGAATCATTTCCTATGAAAAGCCTTGACTGTCTTTTGATTATAAAAATGAACGTGTTTGTGTCTCTCTTTCTTTATATAATGTGCACTCATTAATATATTATGTCAATGCATCCTTATATGAATTCAACTGAACAATATATGATGTCAATGTGTCTTTCAAAATTCCATTTTATTTAGTTCCGCCCATTGTTTTCTCGTTAAGGGCACATACATTTTTTTACTTGAGGAACATATATAGAGGTTTTTGCAAAATTAATTCACCGCCAATGCAAAACACGACAAAAACACCCAGAATTGAAGATAAGTTCTTCAAATATATATGAAGGTATTAGTGCTATGTTATTTCAGATGTTATATACGCTGGCAACATCATCTGTCTTGGAGAACGCTTTAAATTACGTTTATTTAGCTTATACTGGCGTAAAGAATGTTTTAAGAAATGCAAATGACCTTTACGCTACATAATAGGTATTAAAAATTGTGTTGTTTTGCTGAAAATCTTGTAAAAAAGCAATGTTGTAGAAATGGTTGCTACATTACAAATTTTGTAACACATTACTTTATTTTAAGAAGCATCAGGTTTTTACGGGACAATCAGTTTAAAGCTATGAATCAATATTTGTTTATGTTGTTTACATTTATTTATAAAGAATTTATTGGCATTTTACGAAATTTCATTAAAGTATTTAAAGGTATAAACTAGTGGGTTTATAGTGTGACACTAATAATGGTACTTATCATGCAAAGCAGATTTAAATTTATCCCATTACTTCATGAGCATTTTGTGAAAAATGGCTGTTTTCATTGAAAAGTCTCACGTTACAAGTTCAAATTGCTATAAAACTATAAAAACTGCTTTAATACTAATCAAACTTGGCACAAATGTTGACTGGACCATTGCCTTTGTACAACATGCTCAGGCTAAAATTTTCTGTTACATTGGCAACGAGGGAAATCTCAAAATTGCCAAAAATCACTATTTGGGGTTGATTTTTTAATCAAAATTGGTTTCAAAGTGCTGCTGCAACTTCTCAATCGATTGAGATAGAGTCAAATGCTTTTCAGCGTTGGTTACACGTTACCTTATGATCGATCTAGGGTCATTTTTAGCCTCTCACAAGTCCAAAATTTTCCTGGCGATAAGGGGGAATACCGCCCCCCTTCAAACCCCCCGCCCAAAACAAAAGGGGGCACATCCCCCTTCTGGCTACTCCCTGATGTATCTTTTGGTTTGGGGGCCGCGCCGAAATGTGGTCACCTTTTTATCAACATTTCCAAAAGAAAACATGTGTTTGGTGCCCAAACAGGACATTTACCTAAATGAGGGGGGGGGGTCGAAAGTTCTTTATTTCGCGTATATATAAGGTAAAGGGTTATGATTTGATAAAATAAAGACCCCACAAATAATAATTTTAATAATAAACAAAAAGCAACAGCAACAAGAAAAAAGTCCAAAAAAAAAGAATGATTATTATGGTCAATGCAGTTTTTTTACATCTGAAGATAATGTTTAAATGTTAATGTATAATATAAAGGCACATATTATAAAAAAACTTGCGTTTTATTCAATGACTGTTACGTACATCCTTGTTCCTTTTATGAACATATTTTGATATGTAAATCTTGGAAATATGTGTGACTGACGTCAATATCAAAATACTATGATGGCTGATTTGTTCCAATCGTGGTTTCACACCGCGACACGCCAAGCGAAAAGTCGAGAATTAACAAGATAAAATGGCGGAGGCGCGGCGCGAAAACACGCTAATTAGCTAATTTAGCTTATAAGCTAATTTATCAAACTTCTCCCCGCGCCACCGCTTATTAGCGTGTTTTCGTTACGCGCCCTCTCCGTTTTATTTCTTAAATCTCGCCCCTTGCCCCGCTGGGCGACGTTTTATTTAATAAACTTCGCCCTGCGCTCTCGCTAATTAGCTTGTTTTCGCTCCGCGCCCTGCCATTTTAACTTATTAGTTCTCGACTTTTCGCTTGGCAAGGCCGCGGGACGAGAACACGCTAATTAGCGGGGGCGCGGGGCGAAGTTTTATTTCTTAAACTTCACCCCGATCCCTCGCTAATTAGTGTGTTTTCGCTCCGCGCTCCCGCCCTTTTGTTTCTTAAATCTCGCTCCGTCCCCAACCCCCACCCCCGGGCCGAAGTTTTATTTATTAAGAAAAGAAGCATGTAAGAGGTCTTTTTCCGCCGGGGAAGATTGTGTTCAAATGGCAGAAAAATAAAAGATTTACTGATTGAGTAAATTGCAGCTGTGAATGAAAGGTCATATCGGCTAATTCCGCCAGTCTCCGGATAAACTTCAGTTAGGAATAATTGGCTAGGTATTCCGAAGTTAAAGGAGCGGAAAATATCGGTACTCGGTTATCTTACGCATAGAAAAGTGCCCTGTGAAATGATTACTGTTACTATCTTTTCGAAACTTGAAATTATAAAACTCAATTAAGAAAGCAATACAGTAATAAATTTATACAGTTTGAAGGAATTAAAACGGAATAAACCAGTGTTTGCATGATGTAACACGCACATACGCTGCTTAGGAAGCGAGAGGTCTGGAGTTCAAATCCCAGTTTTGGCAACTAATGTTTTTTGTTGTTTATTTTTTTAATTGTTTAAACCAAATAAACATTGAATTGAATACCAGTGTTGCAATTAGTCTTATAGCCAATTTACTACAGTTATAACACTGGAAACAGCATTGGAGGCACTATACAAAAACAAATTGGTTTATAATCTCACAACCTTCACCTTTCTGACATTCAAAGACCCATAACAAATTCAGTGCCCTCTGTGCTATTATTATTAAATGACTTTATTACACTCCTGCGCCGCGGTTTATGTGATAAATCATATTATCCTGAAATCGAAGCATATTAACACATCATACCACGAATTGATTAACGAAATAACATGGTTCACGGGAGATTAGAACAACACTAGATCTATCATAGATTTGAAAATCTCCTTAGGATATTTATTATGACATCTGAACCATAGGTGATCGGCGCGCTGATTGGTCACTACCCACCCCCACCCCCTCCCCTCGCGCCCACTCTTCAACCCTCCTTCATCTCAAAACCATGTAAACTGAAGTATTTTTTTATTTGAAACATGTTTTAATATTTGGTATATGCTTTTATCATATGATGTTTTGATTGAACATTTATTACAAATAATAATATAATTTTATCATATTTATATGTGCAATACAAAAAATATTCATTCATTTCGAATAAATTGCCGTTTAGTCAGGTAATTTTTACAAAAACCCAGCGGTCAGGTCTCCGTCGACTTGCACTTGCGGTTACTTCGAGATTACATATCTTCTTATAACTTGAAATGATTGTAATGACAGCTTTATTCCCTTAAGAGTAATCGACTCCCTACCGTTTGGTACCAAAAATTTGAAAATTGGTGAAAAATGTAGGAGTTTTGGAGTTCATATTAAGATGAGTGCCGAAAAATGAGCGGCGAGTTGCATACCTTTACTTAATATATATGTATCATTTTTTTTATTTTTTGTGAAAAATGAAGGAAATTGAATTAAAAGTATATACCAAATGTTAAAACATGTTTCAAATGAAAAATACTTCAGTTTACCTGGTTTTGAAAGGTAAGAGGGTTGTAGAGTGGGTGAGGGGGGGGGGCGGTGGTAGTGACAAATCAACGCGCCGATCACCAATGATCTGAACTGCATGGTTTTGATAGAAACTATATGCATTTGTTATTTGATTTATAATCCTTTTTTATAAAACGAGGCAAGACAACTCCGTGTCGAATATTTAGGTATCACAATATAAAGTTATCTCCCTTATTAATACAGGTACAGATCTAAATATGTAATCTTTTTTTTAAGTTGACAAACGTTTGAGAATTTCCATAAATCAATTTTAAGTCTAAAATACTTCAGACGTGATCATTTCTTATTTGGCTTCCAATCTACTGATAAAAATTTCAAAGTGCTCTTGTAGTTTGCTATATTTGTATTCCTGCACTTTGATGCTGTTAAATGAGTCTGTTTTCTGCCTTTTGTGCCGTTTATAGAATATTCCATGATGTATATCATAGACCACTGGCGACAGAAACTTTTATTTCACTATTCACAGATCACGAAATAAACAACATGTCATAAAATCCCCATATGAAAACGGTCCTTTATCATAAAGAACGGCGTGCTCAGCAATTTAATTTGTAAAAATGCATTGATAACAAAAATTATAAAATAAATGTCACGATTTCGAATTAGCAATCAATAGTGAAGTTTCATTATTTGTGTCTTAAATGGAAGAATTACTAAAAGTGATTGTTAATGGCAGAATTACCTGAGTTCATGCTGTACACACGTGTTGTAACAAGGATTCCACATTTTAGGCAATAGTAAAGCTACATTGTGTAAGTATACATATTCACTCTTATGGAAAAAAAGAATTTATTAATAGGACGCAACTATTCCATACAAGTAATAGATTATAAATTTATAATATTATGGAATTCAAAACTTTTAATCACATTCAAATAAAATCATTGTCACTTATTTTTATCAACTTTTCTGTCTGAATTTTGTTGACGATAGCAGTTCTTTATCACAGTTCAATGAGTACGAGGAGACAGAAAAAAAAACACAAGCAATATACATATGTAGTTGTGTTTCTAAACAGCTTTATTATTCCTTCAATGGGTTACTATAGAAATATTTGTATTAATACTCATTTATTATTCAAAGTTAATTTCAGAAGTAACCTGGCTGTTATCTCGTAAAATTTCGCTCATAAGATTTAAATTTCTCAGTGCATGTATAATCCATGAGCGTGTCTTTATATGCTTAAGAATTGACAAAATACGTAGTAGAAAACAAGAATCATTCAAGTCGTTGCGCGTGTAAAGTATGGCATAACAACTGGAGAAAATATTAAAGTCAAGAATTTATACTCATTACTTAAAATCGAAGCAAAAAATTTCAGATTAACAGTTCAGTAACAGATTTTGTACATGCATTTCTTTGTTTCTTTGTAATCAGCAGTCAATATCTCTACATAAACACATGATTACATGATGTAAACAATGTCTTAAGACACACCATCGACATTTGAGCCGCGTCATGACAAAACCAACATAATGGGTTTGCGACCAGCATGGATCCAGACCAGCCTGTGCATCCGCGCAGTCTGATCAGGATCCATGCTGTTCGCTTACAAGCCCTATAACAAGCAGAGAAACTGATAGCGAACAGCATGGATCCTGATCAGACTGCGCGGATGCGCAGGCTGGTCTGGATCCATGCTGGTCGCAAACCCATTATGTTGGTTTTGTCGTGACGCGACTCAAATTTTTAATCCTAGATCGAACATTTACCACAGTCTGAGCTCAAACTTTCCACGCTCGCCTAGACTCGTCCAGCTAATGTTATAGGCATTCCCTTTACCGGAAGATACTTTTTTAATCTGTTTTCTAACGTGTTCAGAAATAAGAATTATGCTTGCGTGACTCGTACTGTGTATTACACGCTTAGATCTTCCCGGTGAGAATCTAAAATTTTAATCACCGCATGTTCTTAAAACCTCATGCGAACATTTTCACCTTTAATCTTTGCTTCTGTTTCAGTTATTCTATCTGAACATTTTCCGTATTTAAACTTAGCTCGGGACACGAAACAGACATTCATGTACAAACACTACAAGTTAAATTATACAGACGAGTGGTTAAATGGCCTCTTACATCATTGTTTGGAGGTAATTAAAAGCAATAATTAGATATGAAACATGTAATTAATCTATTATTAGTTAACTGCTTGCAGTGACATATAGCCGCAGGTCTAGCTCGACACTAACCTAAACTATTCGTGTATTCGCTCATCGATCATGTATTGAGCAGACGTCAAATAAATACAAATTTAGTAAGTTTAGGTGTAAAATAATGTAAAATGGGAGTGTAAACCGGAAGTTCCCTATAACAGAGGAACACGTATCCCTTATAGCGGAATAAATAAAAACGTATTTTAAAATTTAAAAAAAGCCGCCCACCTACACCAGAATAAACAGACAAATACAAATCTTCTTATGCATTATCTTATATTTATTGTTTGTTTGTTTCTTTTTTTTTGTTGCTGTTGATTGTAAAATTATTCCAAAATATCCTTTACCACCTAAATATTTAAATGAACCTTATTGAACATCTTGAAAAAATATCATTTATTAATGTCAGTATTTTTTTAAATATTAGTAATGAATGACTGATACTGTTAGAATGGGTCTAAAACTCTGCTAGTGCTAGCTAATAAATGTATGATTAAAAGCTATAATTTTAAATCTATCCCAGGTTAACTGACACATTATAAAGGAAGGTTATGGTTTCTTGCTATTGAACATTTATGTCATAAAATCAAACTTTTGTTGTTGTCAAACTTTTGTTGTTGTTGTTGTTGTTGCTGATGTTATTGTTGTCAATCCCTAAGTCATATTTTATTATTTTATTTGTAAAATAACTGAGTGTAAGAGATACAACAGTTTGATACAATATCATTTTGTCTATACTTTTTCAGTTGTTATTAAAAGAAGCTTTAAACATAGTTGTCATTAGATGCTGTATCATTGTTATGTTTTAATTTATTCAACTTCATTTTACTTTATTTGAACGCCTTTTTTAAAAGGTCCAATCACTCTTCAAAGGTGATCTATAAAATAATAAACTGTTTTCATTTGTGTCATCATTTTCTAAAAGCAAGTATGAACAATTAAAACAACTTCATATTGGTCATTTTTTTGAAAATCGCACATTTATAATAATAACTAAATTAATATTATCTTCAAAGGTCTTCCTCTTTATACATATTGTACCATTTTTATTTCATTATTATTTCATTATATATGTGTGTTATTAATTTTTGTACTAAAACTAACACACAATATTGTTTGTTTTTTATAGAGAAGAAAAAAAGATTTTTAAACTGATAAAAACCACTCCTGTATAATATCTCACAACGTCATTCCGTGACATTTGCCCCTGTGGCCTTTTTTAAAAGTTATTCCTTATTCGTCGTATGTTAAAATTCTCACAGGTAAATCGTAAATTTTAATGAAATCGTCTATATGTAATTCATTACAAACGTTGCTGATATCACTGTTTAGTGTAGTCCTGTACTAGTCGGTGTCGTGTCGTGACCGCATGTACTGATATAAGTTACTTCAGTTATAAATAGATAAACAGCACTTACATGTATTTATTGTATGTATGATCTTTAATTAATGCATATTAACAAACGCGCACGTATAGAATCTTGTCTTAATTGACTGTTTTGTTTATCATGATGGACTGTGTTGACTTTCTCTAACTGGATAAAATTTAAACCGGTGAGTTGCTTTAACTGTTTTTATCTTTTTCTTCTTATTTTATGATTTATATTAAACTTATCTATTTAATTAATGAATTGAATAGAAGGCATATATTGATTTTGCAGGAGTTTAAATGTCGCTTTTGTAGTCAGCGATGCCCATACAATTATCTTTAGGTGAAATATCTTTAATATACAAATGGACACTAACAAACTAAAGGTTTTTTCTTGAAGCCTGCAGAATAATAACCGGTACAACAAAACCAGTTTCTATCTCTAATCTTTATGAAGATACTTGCATCCAACCCCTTAAAGTAAGACGCTACAAACACAAACAAATTCTTCTTTATAAAATGTTCAATAATCTTTCTCCTCATTACCTCTCTTCATTAGTTCCCGATACAGTAGGAGAATCTTCAGATTATAATTTACGAAATGCAGACAACACTAGAAATATATTTTGTCACACACAACTTTATTCTCATTCATTTTTGCCATCATCAATTAAAGACTGGAACAATCTTCCTGTTAATTACAGAAATTCACCATCCATTTCAATTTTCAAAAGAAGACCTAATGAAGATGTTCAAAGAGTGCCTTCTCATTATTATGTAGGTGAGAGAAAATACCAGATTATATTATGTGGCGACATAGAAAACACATCTCATTATTTCTTCTCGTGTCCAAGGTACCAAGATGAACGAAATGTCCTCCTTAATAATTTAAGTGAAATAACAACTGTCACACTTAACGTTTTACTCTATGGTGATAATTCAATTGCTGACGATTTAAATGAAGCAATAGTCCTTCATATACACTCATATTTACACAGAACAAAACGTTTTGAAATGTAATAGAAAGTTATTATTTCGACTAATATGAAATAGAGATTTAGATGCATAATATTTTCTGAAAAATATATTCAACTCCATAGTATTTTAGTGACCATTCCTGTTGTCTTTCTTTTTCTTTCTCTCAAATCTGTCTCTTATTTCCTACCTTCTATTACCCAACAATTTCAACAATTAACTTACGTTTCCATTTCTTTATTTTTCTTTAATTTTTTTTTAAACATGTTTAAAAGTTCTATTATTTTTCTTGATAAGTTTAAACGTGCTAATTTGTGCATTTTTCACTTGTAAACGTGTACTTATGCTATAGAGCTATAGGGTTTTCTTTCACATTTTTATGTCTATATTCTATTGTTAAGGTCGTTTCGATTAGGAAAACTAGAGTGCAAATTGCTTACTTTCTTGTACATGTAAAGAAGCAAGTTTATAGTGAAAATGTTATGTATATTTAACTCAAAAATGCATATAATTGTTGCCATTTTACATACTGTTTGAGATAGTGATTACGGAAATAGTTTCTAAAAAAGCTTTCAAGCTTCCTACTCAATCCGTACTATTTATTATTTGTCAATTATCATGTAAATGTAATACTTATAAATAAAATATTGTTTAAACTAAAGGGTTTTTTTTCAACGGTTTTAGTAATTTTACAAGATTCGGACATCATTTTCTCATTGCATTTTAAGACTTTGAAGTCAATATGTTATGGGACTGGGAAATATTTTTTTGAATTTTATACCATTTGATGGAACGCTATACCAATAACGTTGTGCAAAATTTCATATTATTTTCATGAAAAACTACTAAACATGTATATTTACAACCGTTGAAATGCTTTAATCTAAGTTAAATTATGATATAAGTATTGAATTAAAGATCCTGTAAGTTATTATTAAGGATGTAACAACACTTAAGTGAAATTTTATATATGTATATAATTATTCTTCTAAACAATTTCAAACATCTAAGAAAATGTTAAATATGTACTGCAAATGTTTATTCGCATTATCAGTAATCATTAAAATCTATACATTCATTTCTTATTTTAAAAAATGGCTTAGACTTTATCGAAAATAGATTTCTAATTACCTCCCTTAATTTACATGAAATGGAATTTCGGTAATATCTTTGAAAATAATGCTTTTTTTAACTAACAATATTGATAAATCTTCATTTGACCATCAAAATTGTGGTATTCAACCATAAAAAATTGAGATAAATGATCTTTCAGAACAGCAAGGTTTTCCTGCTTTTATGTCAACAGCTATTCACCTACTAATATTTAAAACATTTACTTATTGATTTGCAATCAGGGATTCCATCTGTATCGTCTGCACATATGTGTAGCGTGAAATTTCAGGCTGAACATATGTGCAGCGTTCTTATTTTTATATGTATTGTTAAATAGTCCGCTTCCTCTGTGTTCAAACACAATTTAGCGTAATCGTATCATCCCATCTGAAAATAAGTGTTAGATGGATCTCGGTGAAGATTTTAAACTATGTCTTGTTTACATATAAAGTGTACCTTAGGACTTCTTTTATCAGAAATATGAAATACGTTAAAAGTAAGGGTTATTATTTTTGACAGATTCGCAAAAAGTAAAACTAAAATTTATGTTTATTTAATTAATAGCATATTGGGAAATAAAAAGTTGTGCAATGATGCATTGATATATTCCCCCACTGAGACAAGAGCATTATTTTATTTCGGACCAAAACGAAGCTGTTCAAAATCTTTCTGTTTTCTTATTCGTACACTTCATTTCAATTTTGTAGACCTGTGCATTAGTAAATTTAACATATTATTTAGTGATATACGCCCTGCATCAGTACATCGTACGCCGTTTGACGAAATTAATTGTCATAAAATATTCTATAATGTTACATAAAATGATATTCTCAGATGTTTTTCTATGATTCGTTCTGTATCTTTGTTATCATGAGACCATTGTCTTGTTACACATGACGTTTCCTGTGACGTTTTAATGTAAGATAATGTGTTGGTGAACAGATGGTCGATAATATACGAGGATTACCGAATATAGATAATAAAGTAATGTATGGTTGTAAAATGGAAATGAGGCTAGATGTAGTACCGGGTAAGATATGCATTTGACTCTGAAAATGAAAACGAGACTATAAGAGCACCAGATTCAAAACTGATATTGTTCTTAGTTCCACGTTAACATCATTTACAAAACATATATTAGTTGAGGTTAGCAAATAATAATAAAAAAATGACTTTATTCAACGAGTTATCTCATTTTAACATCATAATACTTCCACGAGGCCCTCAACAAAGAACATAGTGTCGGCGTGGCCGAGTGGTTAACGCGTTGGACTAGTAAGAGGGCGTGTGTTCAAACCCTCCTTGTTTCTTTGAGCAAGAAACTTTACATTTATTGCTAAGTAGTGGTTGGTTCCAGGAACGGATTCGAGAGTGTTTCAATAAGTGTATAGCCTCCAACACAATCGAACAAAAATAAATTTGTGTAAGGTAAACTAACAAAGGACAGTATAAAATTTAACATATTCAAGGAATTTAAATACATAATTATGACATCGGTATGTATACAGTAGATATTGCTTTTATTTTGTAAATAATAGATTCTAATACCAGTTTATTTGTTTAAAAGCAATCAACTATTTTCTCTCAACAAAATTTCGTGAAATTTTTCAGAATTTGTCTTGTTCGTTTTAACAAGCTGAACATGTTAATATCATTATGTGACTGTTTTTCAAAATGCGAAATAAAGTGTTATTTTAATGTTGACAAAATTCATTGTATTGTATTTTGTAAAAGTTGTCAATATAACAGTTAAGTAATAAATTCGACTGAACAGTTATGAAAAAATTATTGGATGCATTGTGAGATTTCTGCAAGCATAGCTACCTAAATACAAATGGACAGCCTCGTAATTGTAGCATCATGTTGAAGCAACTAATTAAATAGTAATATTAAAATAGTAAATTAATGTTCAAATTAATGATTAATTGGTCAAGAACGGAGCATCCTAAATGTTTGAAATTATGTTTATAAACAATCTATTTAATTGCTATAGAATGATTGATGATTAGCCGATTTACAAAAGTAAATTCTTTACGATTCATATGAAATACCGCAAACCTATTGGACAAAAATCATTTCAAACACTGACGATTTATTTCTTCTGAGAATAAATTGACTTCTAGGTCCAAAGTCAATATTAACAACAGTTTTACCTAAGCATCAATCTAGATTATAATTGAATCTTTATAACTGCCAAAAATCATCAGGCATTCCTTGAATTATTAGTTATCCTTATGTAGATTTTATATGTCAACTTTGTTTAGTACTTCAATCCAAGTACACAGCACGAAGAAACTTTAAGGGTCACCATACTTTCAGGATGACCTTTACCTTTCTTGTACTTGACTGATAACACTTTAAAAGTATGCCAATGTCATGTTATTTTCAAAACTTCCTTCTATCCTAAATAGACCGATTTAAACCATTTCGTGACGATCGCCAATGTTTCTAAAATAGATATACACTATTCTATTCCATAATGTCAAGGTGAGTATTTATGAAATAATTATGAAATAATTCGGTCGTTTTTACTACTTTTGTACTATAGCTAGCGCCAGAAATTCATAATGTTGTATGAATAGTGCAATTAAATAAGACTGAATTAAAAATACTATGATATTGTTATTTAGCATTGCCAAATTTCTTAAAACTTTTTTGATATTTTCTGTTGTACTTTAGATGACCTTTCGTGTATATATAAATAACTGTAAACAATCATAAAAAATAAAATATTGTGTAATAAACTGTAATAATGGAAGTTTATTATAAATTGTATCAAAATGATGAAAGTTATTAATCGTATTTTGATGTAAAAAATTACGTTATGTTATAAATGTACTGATGTCAATGATTTGAGTGTACCCAAATGAAAGGATGCTTTTGAAATTTAAAATGATTTGCATAAGAAACAGCATCTTTCTTATCAAAATTGTATCTAGTCTGTAAATGCGGTAAAAAAATGGAGCGTAGCAAATGGTAACAAATATTCATTATTAGCATTAATAGCAATAAAAATTAAAGTTTTGTATCAAATTTTAGTCCAGTATAGTATATTAGTTCTTTTATTATTATTTTTTTCAGCAATGATAATTAATAG